ATCTCCCATAGAGAAGCAGGCGTCAGAGATCTATACAAAGGCGATATTTGATCTTTTTCAAGAGGAATTGGTGGAGTCCTCTGGGTTCTTGATGGAGAGAATCGAGGAAGGAATAGTTAGTAAGTTCCAAGTGGCTGATGTAGACAATGCGAGAAGGTCGACGTATCTCGTCACCTACAATGCCTCTGAAACTAGGTTCTCTTGCAGCTGCTGCAAGTTTGAGTTCACAGGCATTTTATGCAGGCATGTGTTCAGGGTTTGCTTGGTTGTAGGCATGATGGTGCTTCCAGAAGGCTATATCTTGCGGCGCTGGACGAGGAACGCCAAGAGCAACGCTCTCTTGCTTGAGCATGGCGCTGCTCTTCAGAACAGCAATCATAAAACCCTGTCACTGAGGTGCAATGATCTCTGCCGAGATGCCATTAGATATGCTGAGGAGGGTGTGGCCTCGGCTGTCGTTTATAAGGTTGCGAAGACGGCGTTACGGAGGGCGTTCTCTGAGGTTCTTGCTGCAAAGAAGGCCATCTATTCAATGGGCCCAGGTATAACTGAAACTCTGTATTTGTTCATGACTATACAGGTATATTTATTTAAATATTTAAGTAAATAAAAAGGGGATTTTTACCCGGTGACATTTTGTTAGATATTTCATTTTATATAAATATTGTTCCTTTTTTTTTTTTTGCCCTTTTCTTTTTCATTCGTATCTGCAAACCCATGATTTTGATCCATTCCAAGCAACTATTCCATTCCTCAGGCAAGTTAAGATCTACCGATTGAGATCCTCTGGCGACAAAGGAGTCCATTTTTATTTATTTGTGCACCTTTTTAATGCACTGAAGGAATGAGGGTCGAGCTTGTGGAACATTTCCTTTACAGGTAAGGAGTCAATTATTTTACTTTTCATACTTGCAAAATATGGGGAATATATTTATATATTAGCTCCTTCCTCAGCTCAAGAACAATGTTTTTTCATCATCATTCTTTTCCATTTATGATTCAATGGTTCGAATGTTCACAATATTTTCAAAATTTAGGGAAAAAATGATTTGATAAAATTCCGATTCAATTCCCATAACCGGGAATTTTTCAAAGAATCATTCCATTCATGGCAACTCATGGGATTATATTGAAGATTGAAACAACCCTTTCATGATCTCATCCAAAATCCACGAGAAACATCGGCCCAATGCAGGATTACTTAGTTTTTTTCAGCACTTGTTTGATTTGTGTTCCGATTTGATGATTGCACCTGACCATGTCGTCTGATTAATATCGTTGACTTTTTCCTTGTTCATCAGATCATGTAAAACTGGTTTGAAGCTATAATTTTTCTACATAGAACTCCAAGTCTTTTCCAGCACAGCCCCAAATTGGTTAGACTGTTCTTCCCTTCTCCGAATTATTAATTTTCTTGCATCCATGATTGAAGCTTGGGTGATGTCCGTTTTTGAATAATTCATCTCAATTTTTTTATGTTATTTACATTCTGCAATTATATTTATTTTCCCTCTGCGATTATATGCATTTATATTTGCACATTCTGCAATCTTTACTTAATGTATAGCATGGTAAATAAATAAATAAGTTCATATTCTGTGCCTATATTTACATATAAAATTATATATATTCTCAAATGATTTTTATGTTCTACTCTCAGATCTTGCAGCTGGATGTGGGTGTTCTCCAGAGGAAGGGCTTTTGATCTCTGATTGCTCATCGAGTGTACGGTCATCTGTTCATGGTGAATTCCAGAGTCAACTAACTTATATCGACTGCCGAAATTGGGCGGAAAAAAAGTCAAAATATGATCCAACTGGGGATTCATTGATCGATTTGGTGTATTTGCGCCAAAAAGTTGTGGAATTGAGTGTCATTTTGATTTGTTGCCGGGCCGGGGGGGTATCAATGGGCCGTACGAGCCCGCAACCCGGCCCCGGTCCCCCTGATGCTTAACCGTCCGGGGCCGGGCTTTGATAATCCTGGCCGGAAGCCCGTAACGACGGGCCTTCCTTCTTTCTCTTCTCTCTCTCTCTCGCTCGCTCTTACTAATAATTAGTGGTTCGGGCTTTTTGGGGCTCGGCCCGTTTCCTCAAGGGATGGGTATTTTTCGGGGGGAGCTGGGTTCGCGCCCGAGCGGTTTGAAATGGTAAGATGACGTGGCAAGTGAATCAGATTAGCCCCGTAAAGCTCGATTGTGCAGTGCGTTTGGCTGATGTAGTGACGTCATACTGCCAAAATTATGACCTCAGCCCTGACATTTACTCCCACACTTGATCGTCTCATACTGAAATAAAGGGAACTTGAAAATACCCTTCTCTCTCTCTCTCTCTCTCTCTCTCTCTCTACGACCTCCTCCTCTTTCTGCCATCGCTTCTCCGAGCGGTGCTTCCTCCTGCCATTCCTCCCGTTTGTAGCGTCCTGCTGAGCTCGCGGTGGCGGGGTCGGCCAAAGGGCTCTTCCTCCGCCGGCGTGCGACTTGTCGAGATCGTAATTCCCTTCGCCGGCCTAAAACCCTAGCTGCGTGTTTCTGTCGCGATCTCTGGTTCTTGGAGCAGTTGCGCCGCTAGAGAGCGGGATCCGTGCTCTCGGCCACCGTCGCGGCTCGAGTTGTGGTTCTGGAGGTGTGCGTGGTGTCTGGGGTGTCTCTGGGAGCCGGAGAAATGGAAGGTGCGTCGGGGCCGTTCAGTCCGCGGACCGCGGAGGAGGTTTTCAAGGATTTCAGAGGCAGGCGAGCCGGCATGATTAAGGCACTCACTACCGGTTCGCTCTCTTTCTCCTTCTCCCGTGGTTCTCGCCTCTGGATTTCTTTTGTCTCGAAATATTTTTTCCAGCCCTTATCTGTTGGTCCTGGTCTGTGTTTTTCCCATTCTGTCGCAGACGTGGAGAAATTCTTCCAGCAGTGCGATCCTGGTGAGCTATCTCTTGTCTGGATCCTTGATTTTTTTGGTTTTAGGGCTTTAACAGTTTTTGAATAATCGTCGGCCTTACCTTGCGAGATGAGTTTTCTGACCTGCGAAAAATCACATGCAGTCTGATTTTTCAATTTAGTGTTTGTTTTTCTTGTATTCAGTTTACTTCGGCGTAGTCTAATGGGGATTTTAAGGTTAGATGCTCAATTTCCAAAGCATTTTGATAGTTTAAAATCATGGGACTTCACTCATGAGAATCCTAGATTTGGTGCTGTAGCTCCCCCTGTATCATTCTGTTTGCATATGGTTATACTGTATCATAACTCTTTCTCCTTGAAGACGTTGACCAGCTTTTGTTACCATTGACTGATCTTTTTATCAAATCGTCTTTGTCCAGAGATGTGCACATTTTTCAATTATAGAAATTGTCATTATTCGTAGGGAACGTCTCTCTTCTGTTGAAATGTCCTTGGGGAGTTTGGTGCACCCTTCCGCTGACTTATCTGTTACGTCTGCAGAGAAGGAAAACCTTTGTCTTTATGGACTTCCCAATGAAACCTGGGAAGTCACCTTACCTGCAGAGGAAGTACCTCCAGAACTTCCTGAACCAGCATTAGGAATTAATTTTGCTAGGGATGGAATGGACGAAAAGGACTGGTTAGCTCTGGTTGCAGTTCACAGTGATGCATGGTTGCTTGCCGTTGCATTCTACTTTGGGGCTCGCTTTGGATTTGATAAGGATGCTAGGTACGTTTTCTCTTACCCAACTAGTAGGTGAAACGTTCGACTTTTTTTTTTCAACATTTGATCGTTCCATCATTGTTTGTTCATGCATCTGATAGTTTCTGTGTTCATCCCTCTTTTTCGTTTATTTTGTGCTGTCGTGTTCATGCATTGAGGTGTGTTGGTGGTTGCTGGTGAGCTATGCATGGTGTTTGTCACACTTTTTGTATTTTTATGCATGGAGCTATTATTTACCGTAATCTGTTATGTTGTAAGTTTTCTATATTTAAGTGTTGTCTTTTATCTAGTTCTAATTTAGGTCGGTTTTTTGCTTTTCTTGCCAAATTTTTCTGGTATAGTTGTTGGTGCTCAGCATATAGTAGCGAATAATTTATGTATGTGTCATTTTTTTCTTTTGTATGGATTATTGACGCATTGAAGATGATAATACCTCCGAAAACCCATAGGTGAATTCATATCCTTTCCCTGGTTAATATGTGAAGTTGCTTGTAAGATGATTAAACATCTGTATGTCAAATTAATTCATCTTTACGTCTGTATATAATGTTTTCAAGTCTTGGAGTACTAGCAGTAGTTTTATTTTTACCGCAAAAATACTCTTTTCTGAGAGCAGATGATAAGGCAGAATCAAACATTGAACACAAGGGAGAATGCTCATGGATTATGTACTACAGGGAATAACCAGCAGGGGGAATAAGGGCTGGTTCAGTAAGGTTTAAAATACCCAGTGTTTGAAGTGAATGAGTAGGTGTCTAAGCAGCGTTGAAAAGATTGTAAGAGCTCACTATCGCAGGAAATTTGGAGGGACTTTGGATCCAAGTTTGATCAGGCCCTTATCTGTCTTTTTCGGAGAGGAGGCGTTTTGAGGAGAAGATATATGGAGATAAGATGGACAGGAGTTGAGAGGAAACAGCTTGCGATGGCTTAATCAATAGGCGACCAAAGACTCAATCTTGTAAAGCTCGCGAGTTACACGCTACTGGCGTCCTGTACTGCATACAAAAAGGGTTTTCAAACCAGAGAGATATTGTTTTGTCATCCGGAAACCATGTGTTTAAACAATGTTCATGTCGTCCAGAGAGATGTTATTGACCTAATGAAATAATAGTACACAATGTTCTTGTTATTCCTGTCATGTGTTTCTTTCAAAAAAAAAAATGATGCTTGAACACTAATAGATGAAGTGGTATAAGACTAAACAAGATTTAAAAAATATGATTGGCTGCTTGGAAGAAAAGTACAACAACCCCAATATAAGTTAATGCCATTTCAAGAAGCAACGAAGAGTAACAGGAGTGTTTCACTCATGTACGAATTAATGGAAATCAGGGTCTACGATCTTTACTGAATGGAAGGTTGACGAGTGGCATAGGAAATCAGGTCTTCTAGGGTTTTACTTGTGTCTCACTTTCTGAACTCAGTGTGGTACGAGAGCACCGAGTCAGTCTGAACATAGGGACGTGGTGTCCGGGAGACACCGTTGAACCAACCTGCTAGGACTTTTGGGGACCACGGAAGTATCTTCAACCACACTCTTGGCGATATTCCGATTGTAGAAGGTGAAGGTAAGAGTGCCTGGTGCATGCCCGCTCCTCTGACATGCACGCAGCAGCTTCTGAGCAATGTAAGGAACTTGCAGATTTGTAAACCTATCTTTTTTAAGCTGTTTAACGTAGTAGATTCCTAATTCCATTTTGGCAAAATTTAATAGTGGATGCTCATCTACTGTGATGGATGACAACAAACCAACCGACTGAGGCACCTCCTTCACCTGAATCATGCCGATGAAACTTATGGAAAGCAATTGCATGACAGGGTCAGCGGCCACCAGATGTACATAATCGGATGGAAAGGGGCTGGCTGGGGTACGGAAGGTGCTTAGTGGTCCTTTTTTAGAATGGAACCCAGCCAGCCCTTTCTAGGTTACACTGGCTTCAACTAGAAGGATGCTGCCCAACACCATCAATAAGTGTAGATTCTACTTCGGAATGAACCACACTGACACCAAACTTAGCCCGCTCAACTAGAACCCAGTAAGAATGGAGTAGAAGAAGGGTGACAGGAGAAAGAAAGAAAGAAAAAAAATGTAGTGTGCAAATAAATAAATAAATAAATATTTTACCGTCAAAATCGAAAGACATGGAAGGCTTGTAGTTCTCAGTTGCTTCCATTATGCTGCTCGTTTGTAGTAGTTCATCAGTCTTTCTCTTCGTCACCATTATATGTGGGACAACTTTATTCGCTTAGGATATAAAAGGGAATGGAGGAGTCTGAGTCTGCAAGGAACGCCGAGTCACGAATCTCAAGTATTTCGTGTGGGATGTCTCTGATTCATCAGCATGCATCGCTATTTTTCTGAAGTGCGCATGCGTTGGACTTAAGCTGTATGTGTGATCCCTAGGAAGGTGCCGAGCTGCCCAGCCACTCCATAGGAGACATTAATCATATTGATTACACCAAAGTTGCAGTATTCCCATTGGAAATATCGCCAAATAGGTGTAAGATCATTGAATAACTGAGCTTTAAGAGTTCCCACTGATGGATAGCTTCTGATGTAGATTCCATAAAACATTATAAAGATGGATATTTCCATATAGTCAATACGGCTTGCAGAAATCAAAGAGAATGGGTAGCGTTGACTAAGTGTATGAGTCTAAATACTCTGAAGGGATTGTCAGCCGCATTTTATTTGTCGTGTACTTGTGGGGAGGCTGACTTTATGAGGAACAATGTCGTCAGGCAGCGGAGACGGCATTTTTTTCTTTTGTCAAAGATGCTGAATATTTGAGACTTTTACGAAACTTTAATGGAAGCTTAGGTTTTCTATGTTGGGCTGCAAGCAAGTCAAATAATGTTCTTGACTAGCCAGTTGGAGCCGAAGGTTCTGAATCGTTGACTCCACCATCATAAAAATGTGTCCTTTATCTCAAGGGTGGCGAATCCCAGTTCTGTTTGTGTTCTTCAAAGTTGTTGTCGTGGTCCTGGTGAAATTTTCCAATGCGACATATATGGAGGAAGGTGCCTTTCATATATCTAAGCTTGGAGGCTCTGCAATTTTTTTATCTTTTTAGAGGAATTGGTTGGGACGCCTCTGAATCTTCTTCACTTCCCTTGAAAACCCCGGATAGAGAGAGAGAGAGAGAGAGAAGCCATTCCTGTAGGCTGCTGATGCTCTCCCTCTATCGTGATGTTCCAGGAGGCGGCTTTTCAATATGATCAACAACCTCCCGACCATGTACGAGGTCGTCACGGGGGCCATCAAGAAGCAGCAGACCAAGGAGAAGGCCCCCAGCAGCGGGGGCAAGGCTAACAGCAAATCCAACTCCAAGAAGGTTTGCAATGACAAAGCCCATCTCTCTCTCTCTCTCTCTCTCTCTCTCTCTCTCTCTCTCTCTCTCTCTCTTACTGTCTCTCTCTGACTCTTATTCTCTCTCATACGGTTTCTTTCTTTGGGTTGGTTTTCTCCAGCAAGGCCGCCAGTCGGAGCACCCCCCCCCGCCGCACGCGCGGCCGTCTTCGAAGCTGGCGGCGCCGCCTCCCCCGAAGGCCGAGGACGACGAGATTTCTGGGGAAGACGAGGAGGAGGAGGAGCACGGGAACACCCTCTGCGGCGCCTGCGGCGACAACTACGCCAACGACGAGTTCTGGATCTGCTGCGACATCTGCGAGAGGTGGTTCCACGGCGAGTGCGTTAAGATCACCCCCGCCAAGGCCGAGCACATCAAGCAGTACAAATGCCCCGCCTGCAGCAACAAGAAGAGCCGCCTCGTCTGACCCTCCACCCCCAACCCCTCCGCCGCCGCCGCCCACCCAACTCTCCGGTAAGTCCACCACGGTAACAACATCCCTAAGCTCACTTCTGCTATCTACCTCTGTTTTTCCGACTCTCTTTCGGCTTATTATTTATATGGTCAGTCCCTCCCCTCCCGCCCCTGGTGTGAAGAAGAACAGTAAGAAGAAGAAGATGCCCTTTGAACCCTAGAATGTATATTTTTTCTAACCTGCCCCTCCCCCTCCCCCTCCCCCTCCCCCCTCTTCCCCTTCCAGGAAAAATAGAGAAAAAGAATGGGTCTCTCGTGGTTCTCCCTGATTGCTTTCCTCTTGTTATTATTGTCCTTCTATCCATCCTTCTTAGCTTCTTCGACCTCATTTTCTAGAGAGAGAATGTCACTGGGCCCAGCCCATTCCTACTAACGGGCCCTGAAGTTGACCTTGTGCCCCACCCCCCCCCTTCCATTGAAGTCCCAATTATGGTGACTGAGAGGGATCAGTCAGTTGCTTGTTTTAACTTCCGATACGCCCGGCCCGTTTCGAGGAATCGCTTTCAATTGCCCCGTCGCTTTTGGCATCTCTCTCTGTGGGAAACTGTGGCGTTGACATTTTTCGAGACCGAGCCATATGCTTGTCGACGTGAGATGTGCCTGGACGTCGGGCTAACCAGGCCAGGGCCATTATGAGGCCCACTCAAAACCGGGCTTCGAGTCCATTTCTCTAGCTTTCTCATCTCTCGGCCGCTTCCGAGAGACTCTGTTCGGGCTAGCGGGCCTCGGAAATTGATTCGCCCGGCGCTCAGCCCGGAATTTTGGCCCCCACCTACTTGTCTGAGAAAGAAACAAGATCCGACTTTTATATTATTTCCAACGCAGCCTTCATTTTAAAGAATCAACCACGCCAACAACCGCTTTGTCGAACGCACGTAGATTTTCCATTTCTGGATTCCCCGCTTGCGAACGGTGATCAGGTATATGGGGGTATTCTAATAATTTAATTTATTGTAGATAAAGACACGTACCCATATTTCTTTGAACTTCGGAGTTCGGAGCGGCATTTTAGCAAATATTTATCTTTACCTGTTGCGGTCAGATCGCATGCTGTTGCTTCCGTCTTCTCTGACCGGAGGAAAAGATCTCCAGCCTTACGTCGTCGGGCCCAACCGCGGTAGAATAACCTTCAGTGTTAGTATAACCACTGCATATGTTAGTTATTATATCGTTTTCGTTGGGAGCCGTGGGTATAACGGAGATACTCGGCACCGTTGAAGTACCATACGGTTCGCGGTAAGTAGACCGGATAGAATTGCTGGCTCAGTCTGTCTCCTCTGTGCGGTTGCTTTAAATTGTGACTCTCCCCCCCCCCCTACCTCCACGCGCCATTGTTGCTTCCGCGAGACTTGCGGCTGCGGAGCAGAGGGAGCGTTGGGGGTGGTGGTGGTGGTGAGGGAGGAGAGGTCATGGCGATTGCGGAGATAGAGGGGTTCCTAAAGGAATGCGAGAGGTCGGGAGACGCCGCCTACGCCGCTTTCAAGTCGCTGTTGGAGAGGCTCGATGATCCCGTCACCAGATCCGATGCCAGGGTGTTCCTCGCCGAGCTACAGAGCCGTTTCGGCACCAAGGAGTCGGGGGATCACTGCTTCCGAGTCTATCACTTCCGAATTCACGACATTTTTCTCACCGACTACGAAGGTCGGCCACTCTCTTCTCCTTCGACGTCTATGATCGCTTGCAGTCTCGGTCAACTTGATCGTACGATATCTCTGCTATCTTTTTTGACGTGTCTCATTCTGTGCTTAATCGAATCGCGAAGTTGTATTTTTTTTTCTTTTTGTGAACAATCCCCTGGTTCTCTATCGTACTCTGCCGATCAACTGCACATGCTCGGAGAGCTTGTGATTCGGTTTCTCGTACTATTCCGGTCTTGACTTTAAACAGGCATCGATATTGATTCTAAATTGTTCGCCAGCGTATGGTGTCATTTAGGGTTTCACAGACTACTCGCTCATAGACTCGCTCGTTTTCCTTGTGGACGTTTTTTTTTTCGCAATCATTTACATCAGTTCTGTTTTTTATTCGTTAATGGATGATCGTCTTTTGCAGAAATCTGACGTGGCAATATTGTTTTATTCAGTAGCATCATATAATTATATCGTTGTTGATTTTTTTCCTAAATAATTTCAAAAACATTCCGCATCACATGAACAGATCCTTTTTCGTTTCAATAGGGTTATGCAACTTGCCTGCAACCTTTTTATTCGTTTCTTTGAATCTTTATGACAAACTGGTACATTTGAGTCAAGAAAGGTATCCATCGATTCTTGTTGATCAAAGTTTATTATTCCATTGTATCATCATGAGGAAATGCATATTGGCATAATGTTAGGCAGCCTGTCTGGGATGAAATACGAAAGCTACGTTATGAGATACAATACATTATCTTTTCGTATGAAGATTTCTGGCAATGTTATGAAATTTAATGAGCCGAGTAATTTCACTTATTAGATCGTGTTTTTAAAATGGTGATTGCTCCCCAATTCTGTACTTGTGATATTGCTTTTCTCTGAAAATTTCATTAGTTTTATATCTTAAATTCGCCACACGAAAATCATTGCATTTGAAGCATCTTGATTCGTGTTCCCTCTTCCTTTAGTAACTTGCATTAAGTTTGCGGTATTAACTAATGAATGATCTTCGACTCGCAAACTTCTGAAATGAAGATTCCTTCATCCTGTCATTGAGACCACAATACGATTCTAGGAACGAACTTACTAGATAAGACCCGCCTAAAATACCCTTTGTTAGCCATAAAATGTGAACACGCCTTGCCTTATACGGAATCTATCTAAAATGAGCCGTTAAATATGAGTATCACTCATTCTTAACTCTTGATAGCCTTGCCATGTGATCTGATCTAAGAGCTTGATCTATGGTAGTAGTTTTCCATTGAAGCTTCACTAGTTTATATCCTAAAATTTTGGTGACCAGCTCCGCATCATCTGAGATGTCGCAGTCCTTGATATTCATCGCTTCACAAAGCGATATTCGTACTCGTGGCAACTCTTTTAAAAAGAATTGGACACTCTTTTATCCCTAGTGGTTCCTGGGAAAGCTGTAGAGGAAATAATAATTATTACAGCTTGGAATTGGGGAAAAGAATTTTTCCCCCATACCTTAGTAATTGGTGGATAATTGCGAGGATCATAATGCTTCTTGAAAAGAAGATTATTGAACATTTGAGCTTAATCATGGAATACTGATAAGTTCTTGATGCCCTCAATGGAGAATCACCATCTAGAGAGTCTAGTTTTATTTCTTTCCACTTAGACAGGTATCAAACAAGTTTTTCTCTTTTTCTGAGATTTTATTATAATTATCTTCATCTTCTGCATATTTATTGATTATGATATTTATTCAGATGATCAATATTTCAGTGAAATATTTATATTTTTTGTTTTAACTGCAACTTTTATGCAACGTTATTTCTATTTACATGGCTACAAGATTTTTATCAGACATGATGCGTAGATTAGCTAGTTTGACGGACATATTATTTCTTTCAGGGTATAGTAAAAGAAAGAAACTGACTATGTTGGAGATTCCTAGCATTTTCATTCCAGAAGACTGGTCTTTCACTTTTTATGAAGGAATAAATAGGCATCCTGATTCTATTTTCAAGGATAAGACAGTGGTTGAGCTCGGTTGCGGAAATGGATGGATATCGATTGCACTTGCTGAGAAGTGGTTACCATTAAAGGTCTGTTTCACTTACTTGGGGCAACATTTTAAAGGCAACATGTCTTCTCATTCTCGGTGTGGGTACTCTTCTCAGGAATTGCTGGCAATCGAGAGCCATGTTCTGTCCAATTGATGGCATTCCATTTCTCTTCCAGTAGTTTGTTGTGTGTTTTGTTTTTTAATATTAATGCAGAAATTGTGCTGTTTCTTGTCATTTTTCTTCTTGAAGTATTCAGATCACTAAGCTGCTAGGTTTCCGGTTTGTGGCAGGTATATGGTCTTGATATAAATCCAAGAGCAGTCAAAGTTGCGTGGATAAATCTATATCTAAATGCTTTAGATGAGAGTGGTCATGGTATCTATGATCAAGAGAAAAAAACTTTACTTGACCGCGTGGAGTTCCATGAGTCTGATCTTCTTGCATATTGCAGAGACAATAATATGGAACTTGACCGCATAGTTGGATGCATACCTCAGGTATCACAAAACATATAATTTAGAAAACATGATTTCTTTTTGAGAATTTGGTCTTCTAGTATATGAAAATAAAAGGTAGAAAAAGAAACCTGACATCAGGTTTTACCATTCTAACATTTTATCGCTATCCTGATTGCCTTTTGTTTTCCTTTCTTCAGATTCTAAACCCAAATCCCGAGGCGATGTCAAAAATAATAACTGAAAATGCAAGCGAGGAGTTCTTACATTCATTGAGTAACTACTGTGCGTTACAGGTTACAATCTCTCTCACCCACTCACTCAACCTCCTCCCTCCACCCCCTTCTGGGAAAATTCACACAGATTTTTACTTTTTTTCACAAACTCTTGCACAAGTTTTATTCCCTCTTTCTAAAAGGGGTTTCTTTGTTTTTTTTTTCTCGAAACTGATGGGAATATCTTTGGATAATTGAATATATTTTCTCTTATGCGGAATTTGTTTGCATCATTCGTTCTAGACCCACGCCTTTGATTGATCTTGGAAATTATGACTATGACAGAAAATCAAAATTTCTTTTTTCCAACGGGTTTCTGAGATCCAATCTTGTTCACAATTAAATAAAACTGAAACAAGCATATTTTATTTCATCAACAACAAATAATTTATGGTTTTTCTCTAGACTGTTTCGTGGTACTTTTACAATAGCGTGCTTGTTTTGGTTCAAATATTTCTCATTTATTTTCACATGTAAGAATCAGTATCATGCTCTTCCTCAACGGGCCTCCATTAGGATTAGTTTATGAAATACAGTCCATTGATCAAGCCATCCGGAGATCCATTTTGTACGGACTGAAACATATTTCCGGTAGTTTCCTACCTGCTGAAAAAACATCTCTTCGTTCTTCGAACCAATTACTGTGAATATTTCAGTCTTATCTTGACTCGTTTTAGTTAATTCGATTCAGGGATTCGTTGAAGACCAGTTTGGCTTGGGTCTCATTGCCAGAGCAGTCGAGGAAGGTATTTCTGTCATCAAACCCACGGGTTTCATGATTTTCAATATCGGAGGTCGCCCTGGGCAAGGTGTCTGCAGGCGCTTGTTCGAGCGCCGTGGATTCCGCATCACAAAGCTTTGGCAAACCAAAGTTCTTCAGGTTCCCAGAACCATCATCCTCTTTCATCCTTTTGCATAAAACGAAAATAGCAAGCAATTAACTGATCCCTGATCACCCCATCCAGCCATGTCCGATTGCTAATCAGTTTATCGGTCAAATTCTTCATTTGGCAACCTCATCCCTCACAGATAAATATAGGCCTTCTTGTGCTTGGAGATAAATATAGAAACATTTTCTCTCTGCAGGCTGCTGATACGGATATTTCCGCCCTGGTTGAAATCGAGAAGAACAGCCCCCATCGGTTCGAGTTCTTCATGGGCCTCGTCGGCGACCAGCCCATCTGTGCCCGCACCGCCCTGGCCTATGGGAAATCAGGTGGCCGTATCTCGCACGCTCTGTCGGTGTACAGTTGCCAACTCCGGCATCCCAATCAGGTCACAACTCGTTCCCACACTTGTCTCACGCTTCATCTGCTGACGTCAACAGGATCCGCTGACTTTCTTGAGAACGATGAATTCCGCAGGTGAAGGTCATATTTGACTTCCTCAAGAATGGCTTCCAAGAAATCAGCAGCTCCTTGGATCTGTCCTTCGACGACGACGCCGTGGCGGACGAGAAGATCCCATTCCTGGCCTACCTCGCCAGCGTCCTGAAAAGTAACTCGTTCTTCCCTCTCGAGCCACCCGCCGGAAGTATCCGTTTCCGGAATCTCATCGCCGGGTTTATGAAGATCTACCACCACATTCCGCTGACCACTGAGGTGAGAGAATCTCCCTCTTCTGAAAAGAGCAGACGTACGAATACAGAGTTTTCAGCTGCTATTGATGCCTTCTCCTTCTCCTGCACCAGAATGTCATCGTGTTCCCATCAAGGGCCGTGGCGATTGAGAATGCTCTCCGGCTCTTTTCACCGCAACTGGCAATCGTCGACGAGAATTTGACGAGGCAACTGCCCAAGCAGTGGTTGACTTCTTTGGGTATCGAGGTTGGCTCTCTCTCTCTCTCTCTCCCCTCCGTTCTTCACCCGCTGGTGACAAGTTCTCCTTGATGGTTTGGTAATCCGTGGTATGATCAATAAGTTGAATAAAAATCGATGCTTTCCATCATGGTTAGAGAATTTTATTTTTTTTCAGTGGATAGAACACTCTGACGGGTGGGTCTCTCGTCTTCTTCTGACAGGGGACGACGGCGGAGGATGTAGTGACAGTGATCGAGGCCCCGCGGCAGTCGGATCTGATGATCGAGCTGATAAAGAGGCTGAGGCCGCAGGTGGTGGTGACGGGCATCGCTCCCTTCGAGGCCATCACGAGCTCCGCTTTCGAGCACCTGCTGGCCGCCACCCGGGAGGTCGGCTCTCGCCTCCTCCTGGACATATCGGACCATCTCGAGCTCTCCAGCCTGCCCGCCTCCAACGGGGTCCTCAAGTACCTTGCCGGCAACGTTCTCCCCTCCCACGCCGCCATCCTCTGCGGTCTCGTCAAGAACCAGGTACAAACTCACCTCTTCCCAGAATGGAATGAGGCAGCTCGCCGTTGTCCTTATCGGCCAATGCCGTCACTGTTTTTTTGTCTGAAAGTCTCGTATTTCAGGTGTATTCGGATCTGGAGGTGGCGTTCGTCATCTGCGAGGAGCAGTCCATCGTCAACGCGCTATCGAGGACGGTTGAGCTGCTGGAGGGCCACACCCCCGTCTTCAGCCAGTACTACTACGGCTGCCTCGTCCACGAGCTCTTGGCATTCCAGATCCCCAACCGCCGCCCGCCGACGCAGGTCAGTTCTTCTCTTTCCTAGTAACACGAATAATTCAGACAAAGGAACGTCCCTGTCCCTGTCTCTGTCTGTCTGTCTGTCTCTCTCTCTCTCTCTCTCTCTCTCTCTCTCTCTCTCTCTCTCTAGAGAGAGAGAGAGACAGAGAGACAGAGACAGAGAGACAGAGAAATGATTTTTCTGTAAAAAAAGGAACACCATTTCCAGATGCCCTGCGGTTCCTCAATCCCCCACTGCATGTTTTTGATGATGCAGAGGAAGCCCGCGGCGGATCGCAGCCCCAGCAAGGTGATCGGCTTCGCGAGAGCCGCCGCCGCCGCCTTCGGCGTGGCGGAGCTCTTCATGAGCTCCCCGCCGGCGGCGATCAACATGGACGTGGACCAGAGCTTCCTGCCGATCCCCTCCACCGTCAAGGCCTCCATCTTCGAGGGCTTTGCCAGGCAGAACATGGCCGACTCCGAGACCGACGTCCTCCCTTCCATCCACCAGCACCTTCTCCGCACCCTCGGCCTCCCCACCGGCGGCGGGGCCGCCTCCTCCGAGCTCTTCTTCTACGGGAACTCCCCACTCGGCCTCTTCTCCAAGCTTGTCCTCTGCTGCATCCAGGAGGGCGGCACCCTCTGCTTCCCCACCGGCGCCAACGGCAACTACGTCTCCGCCGCGAATTTCCTCAAGTCCGCCACCGCCACCATCCACACCCGCCGCGAGGACGATTTCAAGCTCACCGCCGCCGCCCTCGCCGCCGCTCTCCCCTCCATCTCCAACCCCTGGGTCTACCTCTCCGCGCCCACCGCCGCCCCCACGGGCGCCCTCTACGGCCACCAGGAAATCCAATCGCTGCTCGCCGCCTGCGCCGCCGCCGGCGCCCGCGTCGTCCTCGACACCTCCTTCTCCGGCCTGGAGTTCGCCGGAGAAGACGATGACCACTGGGAGCTGGGGAGCTGCCCCGCCCTCTTCGCCGTCCTTGGAGGGTTCTCCTACCACCTGCTCACCGGGGGGCTCGACTTAGGCTTTCTCCTCGTGAACGACCCCGCCATGGCGGAGGCCTTGCGCAGCTTCCAGGGCCTGAGCAGGCCCCACGGCACCGTCAGATACGCCCTCAAGAAACTCCTCGCCCTCAAGGCCCAGCCCTCCAGCCACTTGCACGCGGCGCTCCGCCACCACAAGCAGATCCTCGCCGACCGCTCCCGCCGCCTCTCCGAGGTCCTCTTCTTCCCTCCTGGCCCGCTGCGTTTCACTGACTTCATTCGATTGATTTTCTTTCCCTCTTCGCAGACGCTGAGGGCGTGCGGGTGGGAGGTGGTGGGGTGCGGCGGGGGGACGTCGCTGGTGGCGCGGCTGCCGCCGGCGTACGTGGGGAAGGTGATGGTGGAGGGATCGGCGGTGACGGTGGCGGTGGAGGAGGACGGTAACAACATGAGGGAGGTGCTCGTGAGGGCCACGGGGCTGTGCATCAACAGCGGCTCCTGGACAGGCATCCCCGGCTACTGCCGCTTCTCCTTCGCCCTCCCCGACGACCTCTTCGACCAGGCCCTTCACTCCATCCGCCGCTTCCACCAACTCCTCCTCACCTCCGCCATAGCCTCCCATTCGACAACTACATAGCCGTTGCGGCGTCACACCTCTCTCTCTCTCTCTCTTTCTCTCTCTATATATATATACATCTCTGGGACCGACCCAACCGAGGTTTTTGCGGCGATCCCCACTCTCTCTTTCCAGCTATCTATATTTATGTCTGTACACATGTATGGGCCGATTAATTATGGGCGGTGCTTTCGTGCCTGCGGATTGATCCCATGCCGCACGGCGAGCTGAAAAAAAATCGAGCGCAGGCTGATGAAAGGTTGGTGCAAGTAATCTGAGACGGTGGGCATTTTCCATTTTTGGGCCGGCGGCGACGAGGTTCATCCCGTTCGTCGACGACGGAGGGGAGATGAACGGCGCCGCCTGAGGTGGAGGTGGAAGTGCAAGTGTTCTCCTCTTCCTCAGTCAATGGCTGTCGGCCAAGGAGGAGCCCGGCTCCGAGGAGAGGCCGTAGCAGTACTGATCGAGGTCGCCGGTGGCGAGGAGCTCGGCCCACGGGCACTGGGATCTGACGCCGCCCTCCGCTGCTACTTCCGGGGGGAGCCCCAGAGGCGGCTCCGCCGCCGCCGCTGCCGCCGCCCGGAAGCGCTTCTTCTCCGGCGAGGAGTTGGACGCCGGCGAGTCGGAGGCCATGCTGCCGTTGCTGGTGGCGCCGCCGCTTCTGTCGCCGCTTCCGCCGCCGGCAGGGGAGGGCTGGAGAGCGACCCGCACGCCGGTGATGAGGAACCGCTGGTGCGACGACGAGTGCGGGCTCGCTACGTGGACGGCGACGTCGCAGTGCCGGCAGAGCAGCGCCCGGTCCTCCAAGCAGAAGAAGTAACCCACCCTCTCCTGGAGAGACGGAGGAAGAAGAGACCTCTCAGCTAAGTTCTTCCGCTCACCATGGAGGCGGCGCAAAGCAAATCAAGACGTAATTTCTTGCACCTCCTTGGATTGGATCTACCCCCTCCTCAACCCACCACCACCAAACCCTAATACCACCTGGTACGTTGACTTACCGTGGCCACTAAGAGCCTGTTGCGACGGAAACCCACCCTACCCAAGTGAAGAGAGAGAGAGGGTGCAAGAGAGAGAAGAATGAGGGGGGGGGGGGCCCATGTGAAATCGGAGGGGAAGGGGGGAAGCATTCTCTCAGGTTTAGGTGTTTTTTGCCGCCAGCAGACGACAGCTGTCCCTTGCTGTGGAAGTTAGAGCCTGAGGAAGATGATCCCACCACCCGCTCCGAACAGCGGCGCCGAAGGTCTGGACGCAGAATAAATATCCCAACGGCGGGTGGAGGTCGGAGGGATCTCTCTCTCTCTCGTTGATGATGGTAATAATAATAAGAAAGAGTAAGGGAGATAGATGGATGCGGGGAAGAGACTGTCACCTGGCAGATATCGCAGTTGGGGCTGTGGGAGGAGGACTGGGCGAGGAGGGCCACCCGCTGGTGCTTCCCGGCGAGCTTGTTGGCCGCGTGCACCTTCTTGTCGCATCGCTCGCACAGCGCCGCCTCGTCGGCGCAGCACAGCATCGTCGCCTCCGCCCTCTCACAAACGTCGCACTGCACCTTCATCTCTCTCTTCCTTTCCCACCCTCCTGCGCACGAAGAAAACCAGACTCGCTTCAAATCAACGTCCACAGAAGATAGGGTAAGCTAAAGCTAAGCTTCTCCTCGCCAGTCCAGATCCGCTCCTCCGCCCCTCCCTCCCCCCTCCCCCCCCCCACCCCACCGATCTACCGAAATAACTCAGCCAGAAGCCCTTACCTCCGATCCGAATCCCCCAATTCCGGCCGTTGCTGGCGGCGCCGCCTCCTCGTCCTCTTCCTCGCTCCGCCTTCCTTCGTCGCTTCTCCTCCTTCCAGAACGGCAGCCGGGATGCTCCGTCCCCGCTCCTCCGCCTTTTATAGACAGACGACGACCCCGCGAGAGAAAAGCGAGTTAGATATTTCCGCTCCCTACGCCCCCCCTCCTCCCTCCCGTGATCCCCGGGGTTACTCCATTAATTAACCCACGAATTAATCCATTAATTAATATATTAACTGATATAATTTTCCGTATTGTGGGCCCCACTTCCTCCCCCAGGAAAAGGTCGGTTTTGACTTTTAGTGGCCGGACATCATCCTTAGACGACGACCCCCCCGCCTCTCCCGCCTCTCTCTCTCTCTCTCTCTCTCTCTCTCTCTCTCTCTCTCTCTCTCCCTCTCTCCCTCTAGCGGAGCCCGAAATAATTGAAGATAAACTTATGCTCTGCGGGGGGGTAACTTAATATTATTTATTTATTTATTTATTTTAAATATATTGGGCAGTCGCAGCCGCACGTGCCACCTGCATTGACTGACCGCGGACCGCAGTCGACTTCATTATTTTTTTCCCTCGAATCGACCCCCCAATAAATAAATGCCATTTATTTCCCCTATATAATGCTTTTATTTTGCTACTAATTTTAATTTAGGGGAAATAGATAATGCGTGCCCGCTAACAGTGGGCCCCATGGTCGTCTTCCTCGGATTGGCGGGTGGAGCCCAGTTGGCCCTGTGGGGCTTCGAGGTGCTTCCGGACCAGGGTGCGGCCCAAACCGGGGGCTCTTGCTGGGGCAATCAGTGGGCCGCAAAGACGGTTTGGTGGTCCCGCCGCGCAGTTATGGCCCGGTGGACCCGACCCAAGTGGGAGTACTGTCCGAGTCCCATCCCCAGGGCCCCATCACGTCCCTGTAGGCGGTGTGGGCAAGGAGAAACACCATGTCATATGACAACGGGTCCCACCGAACATTAAATGCATATTGGGGTTTTCCACATATATCCGAGAATCTGGGTCCCACCCCATGCTTTCTTCCTAATTTATCCTTGAGAATCGGGTGTATTCTTAATATTTTGGAGGGCATAGTCATAATATTTTGTGGGAAGTGTATAAGTCGGTAAACTTTACAAGGTCATCGTGGCAGAGGGTGTCGTTTCGGGCCGTAAGCGGGCCCATTTGGCCTGTCTAGTGGGGCCCCGATCTTACTTGGCACGTGCTATCGCCCGTGCGAACCATTTGAGTTCTCTGGCTTGGTGGGGCCCGCAGGAAGATCTCCGGGGTGACGTCATTCCCCTAGTATTCCCCTATGCCATGTTACTTTCGCTTAGACCTCTGGGCAGCTTTCCGTGTACCGCGGAGTATCCGACGCGGCAACCCGTTTGTCCACTGGCAACACGTCTCCCCGTGGAAGGCCCCGTCAGCAAGCGTCTACTCAAAGACGCGGGGCCCACATTTCGGCCCAATTATCGTCAGTAATGGGCAGGTTTACTGGAACATATTCCTCGGGCTGGCCTAGTGGGCCTCTCTCGAACCCTCCACCTATCTTGTTTAAAAATTCTTCCACGTCAAGGAGATGCTTGCCAGCTGGCTGCATAACGCGATGCCACGCACCTCGGACTTCTTAATAAAATAACCCCGTCCCCCACAATAGCGGCTCGTCCACAACAGTTCTTCTCCCTATCTTCCTGGTGGCGACATGAAGATTCCGGCCGCCGTTTTCCTTCCTCTCTTCCTCTTCCTCTTCCTCTTCCTGCTGTTGCTGGCGCCGGCGGCGCCGGCGGCGGGTTCTCTGCGTCCCTTCTTTGACCACCGGCGGAGCTCCGCGCCGGAGCACCTCCCCTGGGACCTCGACCTCGACGACTTGGCCGCTGTCTTCCACGCCGTCCGCGTTGACTGGATGGAGACTGCCGCTGCCCACATCGTCACGGTCGACGTTCCCGGCGAGTTGACCCCACCCCACCCCCTCCGATAACATCGGAAGATAGAGCTGGAGCTGAAGATAAGTCGACGACTTTTATTTATTTCCTTTTTATGGGTGGCGCAGGTTTTAAGAAAGAGGAGCTGAAGGTGGAGCTGGAGGAGGAGGGCGGCGTGCTGAAAGTGGCCGGGGAGAGGAGGCGAGAGGCGGAGAGGAAGGAAGGAGGAGGATGGCACTGTGCCGAACGGGCACACGGCAAGTTCTGGCGGCGGCTTCGGATGCCGGAGAACGCCGACGTGGCGTTGGCGAGGGCCACGCTGGACAACGGGGTGCTGACCATCGCCCTCTCGAAGCTCCCCCCCCAGCAGATCAAGCACCCCTGCGCCGTCCACGTCAGCGAGGAGAAAGCAGCAGCGGCGGTGGAGAGGAAGAAGGTCGAACTCTAGAAACGTGTAGGTAGATGATCTCTGTACAGGTTGGAGTGTTGACCGTTGACCCGGTGGAGTAGCTCTCTGGGTCGACAATGTAATGGGCTTTATGCTAGTGCAAGATGGGCCTGATTGGAGCCCATCAGGCCCAGACAAACAGGGTGTCACTAGGTGGGTGGGTTCCGCACCAATGACGTCATCGCCGCGGCGGCTACAATGGCAGCGAGACGCGATGGGTCAGGCCGTCGCTTCTTGAGGACGCTTTTGTCGTTTAGTGGACCCGTTCCACCTTCTCCGGAGAGAGAGAGAGAGAGAGAGAGAGAGAGGGGGGAGGGGGAGCATGATATTTATTTTCTCACGTGCCCACTTCGCCGTCAAAAATATCTTTATTTACCGAATTATAGAGCTTTTGTTTGACCCATACTTCCGAAAAATTAATTTTTATATACTTTTAAAAATGATTGTTCCTCCGAAAATTGAGAGAGAGAGGTCTTGTCGGTGAGGAATAAAGATATTAGGCGTGGGGAAGTGAGCTGGCAGCTGTGTCGTCACGACGAGAGCGACAGAACAAGCCGCCGCCTGCCAGGAGGGCGTGCGGAATCAAGCAGATGACGTCCCGCGTTGAACCGAATCGCGCTTTTTCCTCTCTTTTCCACCATTTTCCGAGTTCCCAAGCGCAAACATATAATACGAGCCCCCTTACAATCAATCATGTCTTGTCTTGGGATAATTCTTACTTAAAACTGCATTGCATGCATGCACTTAAAAACCACGTCAGCCGCGCAAGTGACGGATGGCGTAGCTCTCGGGAATCAGATCGGCTCTGCCCGTTGCACCCTCTCTCTCTCTCTACGTCCCCTCACAGATTTCTTCACCATGTGAGGGGCAGCTGGTTATCGCAGTCGGTTCGGCGCGCTTTCGGGAGCTGACAACGTTGCCTTTCCAGATTTAGTCCAGAGAAACATATAGAGATAGAGATAGAGAGAGAGAAAGAGGGAACCTGGACTGTGCTTTCTCTCTCTCTCTCTCTCTCTCTTTGTTTCTCTCGCATCAGCGTACGGCTCTTCCGTCGTCAAGTTTCCATAATTCTCTCGCTAGGAATCATCTCGTGAACGCCGGAAATCCGGTGCGACCGGGAATTCTGTGCCAGCTGGTCTCGCCGAGGAGGGTCGGATCGTTGCGAGCGGCGTCGGCGAAAGCACCGCCGCTTCCTCCGGCGTGACGCCGCCTTTAGCATCTCCTCTCCCCCCTGTCAGGTCAACGCTTTCTCTCTATGTCTTTCACGTACGGATGGTCAACTGAAGAAGACCGATTCATCTTCTGCCTTGGTGAGGTCCCGAAGTCAAATAGGTCGGCAAACATTCGGACACTGATTATTACTATTATTATTATTGTGACATCAAGCTCGGTGAATCCGGATAAACATCTGATAATTGCGACGTGGCCGCTCGACGCTGTGTGACACCTGGTTGACCGTCGCGCGGTGAGGATAAGATGACAAGTTCCTCAATTCCCAAGGGTTCATGCGTAATTTAGAGGCCTGTCCTTAGGTCAGCTGCTACCTCCCTCCCAAGACACTGGACTCGCAATCTCCCTCTCTTTCTCTCTCCCTCTCTCTCTCTCTCTGTAGATGGGCCGACGATGCCGCGGAGTCAACGATGTGGGCCATCATCAGTTTTTCCCCTTGCAACCATCTTCTCTCTCTATCAGTAGTCTGTCGAGAGGCAGGTTTCTCTCTCTTCCGGCATGACGGGGTAATCCCGTACTCGAAGGCTCTCCTCTCTGCGCGAGCTTCTGGGAAATGAAGAGGACAAGGCCGAGGAGGAAGAAGACTCTTCTCTTTACTGCCCGCGGGGCTCGGGGCCGTCTGGAAGAGCCGTAGAGAGAGAATGAGGATGAGGCAGAGTTCATCCCGATAAGGGGACGCCAGAATCTTTCTGATCTTTATTTTATTGATTCTTGCAGTCCCAAGAATCCCACTCCCAGCGCCCAAGCTGCGTTTTTTATGTATTTCCTCTGCTGGATGACTAATTCGTCATCTGCCCTAATTTATCCTCGACACCACCTCCCCCCCACCCCCACCCCCCAAAACCCTCGGCAGATCGCAACATAGACAGCAGGGGGGCGAGTCGAGAGAGAGAGAGAGAGAGAGAGAATGGATCTTCCTGGTCTCGAAGGGGAAATCCTGATCCCGATAGCCAGTGCATACGCCGATGATCATGCCCATGTCCGCGCCAGCTCCGACGAATCTCCCTTCCACCATTCGAACGGCCCTCTCGCTCTACCCGCCCCCGTTGAGAAGAAGGCACCGGCGGCGGCTGTGGGGATGGGGATCACCTACAGGGAGTGCCTGAGGAACCACGCCGCCGCCATGGGTGGGACGGTCCTCGACGGCTGCGGCGAGTTCATGCCGAGCGGGGAGGAGGGCACACCGGAGGCCTTCCGCTGCTCCGCCTGCAACTGCCACCGGAACTTCCACCGGAAGGAGGTGGAGGGGGAGGCGAGCTACAGCTGCTACAGCCACTTCAAGGGGATGAAGCTTTTAGGGCAGAACGGTGTTCTGATCTCTGGAACTTCGGAGCCGTACTTCCTCGCGAGGGGTTCTCATCCAATGATCATGCCCTTGGGCGCCGCCCCGCCGCAGTCGTCGGAGTCGGAGGAGATGGAGGGCGGCGCTCCGGCGGCGGTACCGGCGATGAAGAAGAGGTTCAGGACGAAGTTCACGCCGGAGCAGAAGGAGAAGATGCAGAGCTTCGCGGAGAAGGTGGGGTGGAGGTTGCAGAAGGAAGAGGAGGGCGCAGTGCAGCAGTTCTGCCAGGAGATTGGGGTCAAGCGGAGGGTCCTCAAGGTGTGGATGCACAACAACAAGAACAATCTTGCCAAGAAGAGCCCCCTCCCCCTCGAATGAGAATCCACCTCTCTCTCTCTCTCTCTCTCTCTCTCTGTTGTCTCAATTTCGACCGCTGAATGCTAATTCATAGAGATGTTAGAGAACGGAATGAAAGGCTTTTCTAATTCTTCCCCTCTCTTCCCTATTTTTTCTGAACAGTTCTTCACACGCTCTTTCTCTCTCTCGTACTCGCTCAATCCTCTTCCGTTCACCGATTTTGAAGATTTCGGCTCCGCAGTGCTAATTTTTTTTTTTTTGGGGGGGGTTGACCGGAATGTAAGTTCATACTCATTTGCTGCGCCCCTTTCCGTCTTTCTCGCATCCTCTCTCTCTCTCTCTCTCTCTCTCGCTCTCTCTATCTCTATCTCGCTCACCAGGTATCGTGACTTCGGCTGCTCAGTATTATTTTTAGATAGATTAGAGACCAGAAAGAGAGATTTCTACTAACCCAAGATTTTTCCATCTACTTCTGGGTCTCTCACCCTCTACCGTCGCTTCAAAGTTAGCGGTCTAGATCATACGTGGGACTAAAATGGTGGGTTTTTCTCTCTCTAAGATACTGAGTTTGTCTCTAATATCCTGAATTTTCATTAATTTGTAGACGAATAAGAGAAAATAAGAGAACAAGCTCTTTCCCTCTTTCATCCTGTTTTACTTCAAGCGAGCTCTTCTCCCCCCACCATCTCTCTCTCTCTCTCTCTACTGCTAGGGTGGGTTCTCATCTCTTGTTTCATCCGCTTACGCGTTAGGGTTGATCTGGTCGTCTCCTTCCTCACTCTAGGGCTCGTGATTACGAGACGAGCGGACTGGATCTGTGAGAGCAGAATTTCAGAAATGATGACGGATGATGATTACCCTCCTGGTCTCCCTCTTGGACTGCACGCCTCCAGAGAAGCTGCTGGTAATAACGTAGAGAGAGAACTAAGGCCATTTTCTCGTTATTCTCGTGGGATCTATCACGGGCCCTCAGAGAGAGAGGCATACACGCACACACACAAACATTGTTTTGTCTTTCTGTGAAATCCTTCAGTTTCCAGTTGTCTAAGGGGGGAGAGGTAGAGAGAGAAAGAGAAAGCGAGAGAGAATCATTGTTTTCTGCTTCCTGTGAAATCCTCTTCTTTTTCGCTTCTCACAGAGAGATAAAGAGAGAGAGAGGGAGAGAGAGCAGAACAATCTTCTTCATCTTTCTGTGAAGTCCTTCACCTCTTCTCCACGATAAGGAGAAAGAGAGAAGGGGGGCAATACCTCCGTCTTGTTCCTTCTGTGAATTCCTGCAGTTCTTCTTTCCTCTTCTTCTTCTTCTTACAGTGAGAAAAAACCAACTTTCTCGTGATTCTTCTGAAGCCCTTGCCTTCACAGGGAGAGAGAGAGAGAGAGAGAGAGGAGAATAGAGGAAAGATAGGAAAGAAAGAGAAGAGAGAGAGAGTGCAAGCCCGTAGGGGTCGGGTGGTTCACGAGAAGCACAGAAAGACAGACATATCTACAGCTGCATTCAATGCCCAAAATCTGTCAGACGGCTTCCTCCCTCGGTTCCATTCCAGGACGACCCTCCCATTGCCCCCTGCATGCGATTGAAGCAATCTCTCTCTCTCTCTCTCTTCCTTCGAGTTGCCCCGCCAGTGCTGCAAGTTCGCACAAGAGTGTCTACAACCTCTCCCTTCCCTCTCATCCCCTCTCTCTCTCTCTCTCTCTCTCTCTCTCTCTCTCTCCCTCTGTCTATATCTATTCTCTTTCTTTCTTTACCACTATCTCCGAGATTTTTCTTTAGGAGTCAGCCAAAGAACGCCCATTTCCTCCCTAGTACTTTGTCTCCATTTGCACGTCCCATCTGTCTCCCTCGCGCCTCTCTCTCTCTCTCGTTCTCTTCACAGAATCCATCCGTGGCAGGAGGATGGCAAGAGAGAAACGGAGGGAGAGAGAGAGAGAGAGAGAGAGAGAATTCGCAGCAGGTTCGATAGCGTTCTTTGCAGTCCACCAACCTCTGGACCCTTTTCATTGGGCCTATACTTCCTGATTGACGTCCCATTATCTCAGGCCCAGAAATCACGCCCGCCATCGAACAGGCCCATTAGCCGCACTAGGCCCGGATACGGATAGCCACGATAAATAAATAAATGGATATATAAAATTATATTTCTGATTTTTTTTGAAAGAATGAATAAAAAGACTTCCCCTTCCATATGTACCCCCCGGGAACGAGGAGCAGGAGGAGAAGATCGTCGCTCAGAGATCGATCTGATCGGTCGGCTCCGGCGACGCCCGCCGGAGATTTCCCCCTGCAACTCTCCGACCGACCATCGACCCGAAGAAGTTTCGGCTCTGGGTATTTTGGGGAAGAATTTTCTGATATCGCCGGCCGCATCAGCTTCCTCGCCCACCCACGTTATCCGCAGGGACCCCCACCCATCGAGGTCTCCCATAGAAGAGGGGACGCTACTCCGCCGGAGTTTCTTCTCGCCTCGATTCCGCTGCGAGCTCCGGCGTCTCGTCGTCTCCGGCGCCGATCCTGTGGCGGTGTACCATGTCCGTGGTCCTCAGATGGAGAAGGCTGAGAGACACGGCGACGAGGGCCGCCAGGTGGGCGATCCTGCCGGAATCCTCCGCCGCGAGCTACCGTTTCTCGCAGAGGTCCCCGATCTGCACCCGCTACAGCAGCAGTCTCCAGGTCTCCACCTGCGCCGCGGGGTACCGCCACCACCAGGAGCGGTACAAGTGGGAGGGCGGCTCCGACGAGTTCCAGACCCGAAGGATTAGGGCCGAGGTCAACTGCCCTCGCTGTTCCACTCACATGGAGGTCCTCTTCTACAATCGTTCTCCGCACACAATCGCCGGCGCCGGGGACCGCGTCGGGGGGTACCAGGCCGTCAACCTCTGCCCCAATTGTAAGACGGCGTACTACTTCCGCCCCCACCGGATGGTGCCGCTGCAGGGGACGTTCGTGGAGATCGGGCGGGTGAAGAATTCAGACCTGCTGGAGAGGGGCGAGAATGCCAGCGGCCCTGGAGGCGGAGCGGATGAGGGATCGGGGAGCAGATTTAGAGTCTCCTTTTGGGAAACCCTCAGGTCACTGAACGGTGGGGAGCCGCCGGAGAATTGGCCACCTGCGCCGGGTCCGGCTCCATCTGGGGGGAATAACGGATTGGCTGTGCACACACCCCCTGGCCCACCGTTCCCTCCAAACCTGAATGTTGTGAGGTTGTCCGGTCCTGGTGGCGGGGGTCCTGGAGGCGGTGGCGGCGGCGGCGGTGGTGGTGGTGCGAACGGAGGGGGTAATGGGTTGGGGGGGAAGGATGCCTGGGGCGGCTCCAATATGGGGAAGGATTTACCAACACCCAAGGAGATCTGTAAGGGGCTTGACAAGTTTGTGATTGGACAGGAGCGTGCCAAAAAGGTGACGATTTTGGCGAATCTCTGAAATATTGTTGATGGTGCATGCTTCTCTATTTAATGCCTTTTAAATGCTTTCTTATAGACAGGAGCTATACATGTACGTCATACATCTTTTCTTGTTAATAGAATGCTGTTCAAGCCACTTTTAGAAGCCTGAGTAGAAAGTTTTAGAGCGTTCTGTCGGAAGGAAGACCTACATAAGTTGGCTCTCTTTGGACCAAGTCCATAGCCAAGGATGCAACTGCAGGAGACACTGGATAGGATAACCATGTACCGTTTTGGGGTCATCTCAAAGGCTAGCAACCCAAAATTTTTATGACCATGAATCTCATTCGATCTTTTTCCCAATGCAAATCAATCAAAATGATTGAAATGCCCGTCTTGGCTAACGCTGAAGGAGCTGGGAGGTTACGTGAACTTTCTGTAGCAGTTAATAGACTATACCCTTTTTCATGCTTATGGTGTGAGTTTCATTTAGGACTTGGTTATCCCCCTCCTTCAGGATATGGAGTGGATGCCTCTTATATGAATTGAATGACGCTTTTCTTATTTCTTTGATTGCTGTGGAAATTTTCTATTGGTGATACAATCCCCATTCCCTCCTTCCTTTCCTCTCTCTCCCACACACTCTCACAAAAGAAGGGGAAAGGTTGTTAAGTCTTTAGAGTTTTGGACCCAAACACTTCTTTGTACACGGTGAATTTATTCCTTTTTTTTAGTGTATAAATTGTGATGGCAAAGGGTAAGGCATGGTCATTTTTGTGAATTATGGTTTAGGTTGTTGTTTATGGCTTGTCATTCCTTCAGTTATTCGTACATTGACAAATGCAGGATGTTTTGGTAAACAGAACATTATGGGTTATGTTTTATTCCTAAAAGTGCTAAGAGGAAAAGCAAGAGGAAAATGCTGCCCCTTATTCTAGACCTTCCTAGGCATGATGTGTGTTTTTTAAATCATTGAGGATTTTATGCTATTAATTATGTGCATTGTCATTTTCAAAACATACGGTAGAAAACATCGTCCAGTGATCAACTCTTGGAAAGCGTGCGAGTATAGAGAAGTGAAATAATCATCATTCAGATAGTCAGTCTGATTTAAAGAATTATGCCAACAAGTACATTCATTCTGCAGGTGCTTTCTGTTGCTGTTTACAACCATTACAAAAGGATATTTCATGGATCACTAAAGAAAGGGTTAGTTATTGCACCATCCTCATGTTGTCCTCATTTCTTCTTTCGCATATTTGTCTCTTGGCATGCTTGTGTGCACAGTGGATGCTTATTTGCACTAGAAGTCTACAAGTGGCATGTGTATCAATGAACCATAATGACTAGTATAGTTACATATTCAGATCTGGAGCAGATTCAGCGAACCTTGAGGTGGAAACTGATGATGACGAAACAGTAGAACTGGAGAAGAGCAATGTACTTTTGATGGGCCCAACTGGCTCAGGTACCCTCTTTTTGACCAACACACTTTCCATGTAATGAAGCCTATAGAAAAGTCTCATATTGTTGCACATGAGAATCTGGTTGATTTGACAATATTCCTAAACTAGCAGTGCAGGGTTTGCTATTTATGCTTTGTGCCATCACCATTTTGGTTTTTGTGGGATCATAAACCGACTCATACCGTTGTCCGCGAGTACAGGGAAGACATTGCTTGCGAAAACTTTAGCTCGTCTTGTGAATGTTCCGTTTGTTATTGCAGATGCAACAACACTGACGCAGGTAAATATTTCTGGCATGTTTATGTCTTTTTTTGTTATTTTAGGGAGGAGAATTTTATCCCAACTAAAAGCAGACCAGCTTTATGTTTGAAAAGTTGAATGTCATGTTGGATTGGATTTTCTTCACAGCTTCCGTCCCTTTCTTTTTTATATTTTTATTCTGTTTCATATAGTTTTTGGAGTAATGAAATTATTTTTTCAATTACTTATGCATGCGCTTTCTTCTGAGGGAAGGTTAGGCAGTTCTTCATTAAAACACGTGTATGGATTTATTTATGAATGAGCAATGGATAAATACGTGGTCTATTCTCGGATTCTTCAAAGGCAGCCTTTAAGAAGGTTGAGAGTTTTCTATGATTGAGCTGCTATATGTATATATATACACAATTATATACTATATATACATATATATTTTTCACGTAGATCACCTTCTTCTGACTATCAATGCATACATCATTTAGTCGGAGGATCACTATAGCTAAAATGATACGCCATAATAATATAATGCTGGTTAGAATATCACACTTGATAATCCCAAAAATAAATAAATTAAAAGAGGGACCTCCTCATGAATGAAAGCTTATCTAAGCAACCTGGTTGGTTGCTTACCTGTGGACTTTAATGTGTTAATTTGCAGCAATATGAGAATCATTTATTGAAATTAGCATCTTACTTCAATTTAAAATTTCACAATTTCCAAATCAAGATAACCTTTCATTTCAGGGAGGTCCTTGGTTAGCTTCTTCTCGATAGTTGACCAGTTATTTATTCAATTTGATAGCCTAGCCGCATGCCAGATAATTGGATGACAAGTGTTAGAAAAGAACAAGGAAATTTATGATTGCACAAATGTTAGGCCCAATTTGTTTTACTGCGTTTTTTGTTGACACATGGGCACAAATGGACTCTTCTTGGTTTAAACCGGATTATTTTCGCCGGATTCAAGTCCCCATTTAATCTTGTCAGGCTTTTCAGAAATGTCTTGTCGAAAACACATCCTTTTTTTTTTTCCTGGAATCTGCCATTGATGTTCAAATTTCAAGGGAAGGACTCTATCCTCCCTTGAGTTTTTGAGAATAAGGAAAAGATACAATAGGTTAGAACAGAGTATTTCACTCCGACTAGGATAGGACTCTGATGAAGATGTAGATGAGGACAAGGACAATAAAAAGAAGAAGACAATAAGAAGAAAGGAAAGAGGAGGTTGCAGCTTGCAGTGAACTGGCCCAAAAAGAGGTTACCTCTAAAAAATGGTTTACTGTGGAATGGCTACTTCCTAATCCCTCTCCATTGCTTCTCCCACCAGTACCTGTGAATGAGGATCATATGAACACAAGGGAGTGGTTAGTGTTTCAAGTTGAGTGATATCCGCTGTTTGAAGACATAGAATTAATATAAGGACAGTCCCAAGGCGTATAAGCTTTAGGACACAATGAGTGGGGGCAAAATCATATAATATATGAACACATCGTTTTTTTCTTGTTTGTCTAATTTTCTATTTATAATTGCTGAAATCAAGTTTTATCTTGCAGGCAGGATATGTTGGCGAAGATGTAGAATCAATACTGTACAAGCTACTTACGGTATGTTGTAATGATCATAAAAAAAGTTTACGAGGATTTTTCTAAATGGCAGAATAGTTAATATTTTGGCCTGATATGAGAGGATGAATTGAAACTACCCTGAAGTTTTTGATCTTACCTTGTACAGCAGTGTTATCCCAGGGTTTTGTTATGAATTACGAATATTAACTAAAACATGCCTATAGTTAACTGATTGGATGTTCAGAAGAGAGGATTATGCGTAAATGAAGGTGACATAGTTTTAATGAAACCTGATATTTGGCCATTTACTTGTCTGTTTATATATAAAGTTCAGTGAACAATATTATTTTCTGACTACAATGAAATTTCCCATTTTAGTATGATGTTTTTTTTGGATCGAAAATGATCTTTAGGATCATACTAATCTAGGTATTTTACCCGGTTGCCATAGCAAAGACCTGTACAGTGAGATAAATTAGGATGCCTTTGAAGAAACCATTGATTATCAATTTTAGCTGAATACGAAGATGATGATTCCGTTCTCTATTACCTACTGGATGCTCATGCCTCTATTTTATATTTCTTAATGTGTTAGGTTGCTGACTTCAATGTGCAAGCAGCTCAACAGGGGATTGTATATATTGATGAAGTTGATAAGATAACTAAAAAGGTTTATCACTGAATTTGCATTACTTAAGCTACGAAGTTCACATAGGTCTTTGGAGTCATTGTCAATGGTTAAATTTTTGGTGCAGGCTGAGAGTATGAATATTAGTAGAGATGTTTCTGGTGAAGGTGTCCAGCAGGCATTGTTGAAGATGTTGGAGGGAACTGTAAGTCATATAGTTATGGATTTTATTTGGCCCACTTGATCATTTATTCTTCCAACATTTTGTTATTAACTTGCCCCTTTTGCGGTTGGGATGATGAAAGGCAGTTAGGTTGAAAAAAATATTATTAAGTTCTTCAATTAGAAAGATCTTCTTTTGCTTGCGATCTGAAATTTAAATATCATCCTTGCCAGATTGTGAATGTTCCCGAAAAGGGTGCTCGGAAACATCCCCGTGGCGATAATATACAGGTATTAAAAGCGAATACTCCTTTCATATTTCTCTTAGCAGAAGCTGTTGAAGGTTTGAACTAACTCAAAGAGGGTGGACTTTTTTATTGTGCATTTTGCTACCTTATTTCGTTGTTTTTTGTTTCTCGTCATATAATCAATCTATCAATTATTTCCTCGTCTCTTTAACCAGTTTTTTGGAAAAAAATAGATTGATACGAAGGACATTCTTTTCATATGTGGTGGTGCTTTTGTTGATTTGGAGAAAACAATTTCAGAAAGGTAATGCGGTTAAAAGTATTTTTGGCTAAATTTTTATATGTCCAGCCCCAGGGGTCTGATGGAGCCATTTCCTTTATTTCTGCACCAGACGACAAGATTCTTCCATAGGTTTTGGAGCACCAGTTCGTGCCAACATGAGAACCAGTGGGGTTACAACTGCTGCAGTAACATCGTCTTTGTTGGAGTCGGTAAGGATCTACCAACTTTAAGGTTGAGTCAATGCTTTAGCTCTGAATCATATTGGCTTCCTTGACCAAGGCTTCATCAGATTTAATGAGATGCATTAACAAGGAGCTATTCTGTCATATTCAGGTTGAAAGTGGTGATCTCATAGCATACGGCCTAATACCTGAATTTATTGGACGTTTTCCAATTCTAGTTAGTCTATCTGCTCTAAACGAGGACCAGCTTGTTCAGGTACCCCACTGATTCTTCATATCTTTTTTCTGGCTCTGATTTATCTGCAATTACAATGGATATATTATGAATCGTTTGTTTCTGAATATTTCTAATGGCATTGACGAGCAAAATACGGAATCTTAGCTAAGAAATGACGACACTTTTTGAAGGTTTTATTGTTTGCTTCATATATCAAATCCTTATGGCGTGTGTCTCATATCCAGGTTCTGACTGAGCCAAAGAATGCTCTGGGTAAACAGTATAAGAAAATGTTCAGCATGAACAATGTGGGTCCTCTGATCTCTAGACTTCTCATCAAGAAATTTCCTACTTTAGATGAATAAAGGTTAATACGACGCACACCTTGCAGGTCAAGCTGCACTTTACTGATGTTGCTCTTCGGTTGATTTCCAAAAAGGCAGTCGCCAAAAATACTGGTGCCAGAGGTTTAAGAGCCATATTAGAAACCCTCCTCACTGAAGCAATGTTTGAGGTCTGTATGCATCTTTGGGGCAAGTTGGGCAACAGTTGAAATCACCAGCATTCATCCTTGGTGTTCTTCATACCTTTCCTCATTGCATGCCGTATTCCTTCAGATTCCGGATGCAAAAACAGGAAACGAAAGAGTAGACGCAGTTGTAGTTGACGAAGAGGCCATTGGTTCTGCCGACCGGCCTGGGTGCGGGGCTAAAATCCTCCGCGGGGATGGCGCACTGGACCAATATATTTCCAGCAACAAGAGCGAGGAAGGGGTACTACTCTTGTGCCCTCCATTGCTTTTTCCATTTGCGTTTGATTCATCGCGCTGTATCATATTTGCTACAAATCCTAATCGCAACCGAGGTTTTCTCAGGAACTTAGTCATTAATTTGGATAAATCATTGTTTTAGTTAGCTTCCATGGCAGATTCCACGGCGTTTTCTTAAAAAGTTTTCAGAATTTACAGCCCAAATGTAGTTAATTATCATTTGAGTAGCTTCTATGACAAGCTGCACTGGCCAGATTTCAAAAAACTCAAACCGTGCAGGGTAACGTGGAAGGATTGGAGGGTGAGCTGGAAGGAGATGCCGAGCTCTCTTCTAGAGCGATGAGCATGTAACCAGGTACCAGTTCCTCTTATATGTACAATCACTCCCGACCGTAATTATAATCCATGTAAACCATTCTCTGCTCAATGAAATGCACTGTGCTAGTTTTAGTATGCTGGCGTTGGCTTGATGGATCTCACCTCTCATCTCCAAATCTCCCAGCTCCTGTCCCACGAGAAAATGGGCCAAATCTAGAACTTGGCCATGTGGTCGGCTGTGAAAAACTTAGGAAGGATATGAAGAAGACCTTTTACTCAATTTGGAAGAATGAAATACAGGAGAAATTCGATGAACTCTTCAATAGATAAGGTGACTTTTGTACTTGGTATTCAGTTCTTGACGATGTATCAATAATATATATTATATATTGTAATTCAATGTGTCTGTCCTTGAGCGTCATCTTCTGAACTAGAGGTATGCCAAGGTAGGGGAAGGGGAGGGAGATGGAGTCAGGTATGTGGCAGTAGAAACTTGGTCTTGGGCTTCAAGGGCTGGTCCTATTTTTCTCAAGAATCCATCTTTTTCTTGACTTCTGAGTTTAGCGAGTCTTCCAAGACTTTTAGTCACAGGGGACAATGGAACATACCCAAAACTAGAATATTTTCATATCTCAGCTTCCTTGAACCAGCTGTCGCATAGTTAGTATGAACGAACCTTTGAGACACTCAACCATGTGCAGCCTTAGTCGTCACTGCGACACCAAGCAGCCTTTCTTTGTGTTCTGAAGCTTAACTTGCTCATGGGACTTGTATACAACACTCGTGGGGGAAGACGTCTCTTCTTCTCTTTAGTCCGCCTTATAAAGAGGGGTACTCCTTGTAACAAAATGGGATATATTAATTGCTCGGACATGGTTCATCTTGCTCCAAGTTCCTGGGTGGCATGGTGGTCGTGCGTGTAACCACTATCTGCATAGCCATCTGCCATGCCCACCTGCTCAATGTGTGCCACATGCACCTAGTAGTCCATGTTGCTGGTGACCAGATATGCCAATTATGGCTTCTCTTTTTGAGCTCTGCATGCCTCCACGCATACTTCCAATGCCCCATGTGTTGTGCTGCCGTTAACAAATGTTGCCATGTTGCTGTGCACGTTGTTGTGCCGACGCATGTGCCGCCATACCCACGCACATCCCGCCATGTTGACGTGCGCTCTGTTGTGCCAGCATACGCACCGTTGTGCACGTTCTGCTGCTTAACTTGCCTAAGGGATTCGTCTTCTCCTTCACAAGGGGAATTCACAACACTTGAGGGGGGTTAACATGGACGAGCCACTGCCCATGTAACCGTCTGCCATCCTGCACTATACTGCCTGCTTGGCGTGCCCCGCGTGCCTGACTGTCCATCCGCTGGTGCCGAGCTGTCCCAAGTGAACCTTAGTCACGCCCGGCTTCTCCACACACCTCCCATGCCCGCACGCATGCCGAGCCGCGCCAAAGCGCAGGCCGCCGTGCCAATGCACGTACCACCATGCCCACGCTCATGCCAGAATGCACACTGCTGTGCCAGTGCACGCACTCCGCCTGCGAGATTCAGGGCCGTGTCCTGTGGACCTCGCTCCGCTTTGTGGTGCCACCCCACCGAGTTGTGCTTGCTGGCGCACGAGCCGGTGCTGCTTGCGCGCATCACGTCGTGCTGTCATACTCCGAGTTGTGCTTGCTTGAACACACTCCGCCTGCGAGTTGTGCTTGGCGCACCGAGTTGTGCTTGCTTGAACAGTGCCGCCGCGCGCCTCCGTGCATGCCGAGCTCGTCCGTGTATGCCGCGCCAAGCCGTGTGTGTTGGCCATGACAATGACGAGTGATAACAATGATGACACGAGGAACATGAGATTCGATCCTTTTATTGTTTAATCAACTGAGAAATAGCAAAGATTGAAACTCAAGTGGGCAAGGCCCTAAGATTAATGAAGAACAGCCACTTGGCATGCAATCAATCCTTCATGAACACCTCAATGCCGATCGCTGTTGCTCCCTGAATTTCCCTGACTGAATGTCCTGGGCTTTGAGCAAATCATTCATTCCTTCACAAACATAATGCTCCTCTGCCATTTCGTGGGGAGGCCTTCTCTGGATCATTCACGTAGATGCTGTTCTTCATATCCCATCTCCATCGTATGTCTTCCATCTCTCAATGACCACCTTGAACTGGTCATCTCTCTTCCTCACCTACAAGCCAGTTCAACTTCTACATTAATATCTGATAATATGACTGACTAGCAGGCCACAACAGAGCCCATTGGGGCGCTAGCGTGAGAATGATGCCTTGGAATGCATCTCCATTTTCGAGCTTTCATGGAAGATATCGAGAGTTTTTTTCTATTTTCAGGCATCTGGAAATCATAAAGTATATGAATTCTGAGGAAATTATTTAAAATTCTTCAGTGGGTATGAGAATGATATTTGAAATAGCTGCTAGCATGAGAATACGAAATTGGAATGCACCTCCATTTAGGAGCCTTAATGGAAGATATTGGCATGTGAAATCATAAAATATAATTACCCAGTAAGGTAAGAATATTTAAATAACTATTTCTAGTGAATTTGTAGATAACAACCTCGACCAGTGGCTTTTTCCCATGGAGCAACATATCGACACTTCTCTCTGTCTGCAAAAAAGAAAGATGGCAGCAATGTTACTCAACAATAACTTTAATCGGGATGATGAACCAGGATCAGAGGAGCAGATTCACAACCATTCGAAGAAAATTCACATGACACTAAATAAGTATTTATCCTGGATATCATGCCGTGGAGATGGGAAAAAAACGTGGTCAACAGAGCAAAACTAGTCTCTTACTTTCATGGGACAACCCATCCTCAAAACACCAGTTCTTCTAAAATCTAAAGGTCCGTTCTTGAGTTATCCTAGACAAAAACCTTTAAAGATATTCTACACTAGGAATAACCAACCAGAAGGCGTGATTCCAGGTCCTTCTCACTCGACTTATTGAGAGTCAAAGGCATTGACAAACTAGCGAATGGAATAATCTATCTGGGGAAGATTACACACGAGGAAATTAACTTACCCAATGGGTAACCCAGTAATTCCGCTCTCTCATTTCAATGAGGAAAGGGAAGGTTGGAGGAGCCTTCCTCTCAAGAATACTCTTCTGGGAACGCCTCGCTCGAGCTTCATCATCCCCTAGAGTGACAGTTTCCACTCCTCCAACCTGTTTGGTGAAATAGGAAAAAAAAAAGAAAGAAAGAGATTCTGGCTGATAGTTTTCTCAAAAAAATATGCAAAATTAAATCCAAGGATCTATCTGTCTAATGAAGAAAGTCCAACAAACTACTGGTTGATAAAGCAAACATGGGGGAAACAAGGGCGAACCAGGTCCGAGAGAGTGGGATTCTTAATGATGTTCCCAAGCTGTTCCCCATGCGCCGTCCCAATGAGCATGACCCCCCTCTCTGCAATGGAGCGGCAGGCCATTGTCTCTGCTTCTGTGCCGATCTCATCCACAATCACCACCTCAGGCATGTGATTTTCCACAGCTTCGATCATAACCCTATGCTGCAAGGATGGTCTCGGCACTTGCATCCGCCTAGCTCCGCCAATGGCTGCATGGGGGACGTCTCCATCTCCTCCGATCTCATTGCTGGTATCCACAATTACCTATCTAATCATCAACAAACTGATGAATGGGATACGTGCCGGATTCTAAGTTATGATGGGTACCACAGAGTAATTATATGCACGGCATTTCATACCACTCTTTTGTGAAGCTCATCGGCTAGAACGCGTGCGATCTCCCGCATTACAGTGGTCTTCCCCACCCCAGGCCTTGCAAAAGAAAAGAAAAAGGCACAAAATTTGGAGTTCAGAATAGTTCCACAAATTCGTATCAGAAATAAACCCAAGATTATAGATATGCTTCTGCTCATCGTCAGCTGGCTCTAACATGGATTCCCGGATAACTTTAACATGATATCAGAGCTGATGGTCAGCTTGACATGAAGGATATGAGTTTGCCGAGAAAAGTCTCATCCCTGCTATTCTATAAACAATGGGGATAGCCCACTCATGCCTATTGGTTTTAAGTTAGATGTCCCAATAGTTCCAACAGAAGGATATTAGAAGGAGAATTATAATCCACTAGTTTACCTGCCCAGAAATAGAATGCTTTCATTAAGATTGAGCAGGTCACGAACCATGTCGACATGGCCAGTGACTGCCCGGCCAACTCTGCAGGTCATTCCAACAATGAATCCCTTCCTGCTTCTTATCGCCGATATCCTGTGCAGTGTTCCCTCGATGCCCGCTCTGTTATCCGCCCCAAATTCTCCAACAGCGTTCTGAGCTTCCTCCAGCTCGTTCAATGTTATCTGGCCAGTGGGGAAAGAGGCCATATTAGGTAGAGTTAGACTCAGAGATAGGTCAACTCATCATCAGCATTGGATAAGTAACCTCTTAATAACATATGGCATCTAAAATGGTGGATCTCCCCTGAAGGTCACCATTTTCTCGAAGCCCCTTCACAATTTTCCTTTTCATTTCATCTTGAAGCCAGTTGCTCAGGAATTTTTTATTTGAGAATTTGAGAAGAAGATAATTCATTTTCCATCACCAGAAAATCTTCATTTTATGGATCAAGCGAGTCAGTGCTAGTCTTTACAAAGTACCATAATGCATCACGAAAAATTCACAGGATTTGCAAGAATCTTATGATATCTCATGATTCGAAAGCTTCAAGGAAACTCAATCGACACGATCACATGTTTTTATTTTCGTAAACAGTTTATTGCTGCTGCTTTATATTATTGATGAAACTTGTATAAACGACTATTTGTATATAAGTTAAACCAAGAACAGTTAGATCACCACAAAGTATGAGGAGAGAATCAGAGCGTAAAACCAATTGATGGACCCAGTGGAGAATGGGTAAGCTAACATTGTGAACACCCAATGAATCATTCAACTCAGGTCATCATAGTCTGGTAGCAAGCAAACTGCGATAGAAACCCACAGGCAATAGATAGATGAAACTATTATGATTGCTTTACACACCAAGGATTTACATGAATCTCACAGTTAATGCTGGCAACAGACCCTCAAGGTTCAGAAAACTCTCACCTCCGCTTCCCTTAAGTACTGCCCACCAGATTCACCAAGGAACCGAGCTTCTGGGCGACGGCCCAGATCCAATATAACCTACGGGAAAGTGGATCATCAGTTTGAAGAACAATTTAGTATTTATTCTCCTCAGACTTTTCCTATTGCCACCAGTATTGGGTGAAGAATCATAACCTGAATCCAATTATGAAACTTATATATACATATAATACTATTTTTCCTCATTTTTCGTCATATCTTTGGAGGGGATGGGTTCGCTGGATATCCAGGAAACACAAATCTTCAAAGGGGATTACCTCCAATAACTGGGCTCTTCTTGGTTCATTTCGAAGTTTTTCGTGCACATCTCTCGGTAGAATCTGCGAACAGTAACACCCGGTTAATAAAGTATAAGAAAAACGAAATATAATAAAATGAATGAAATCAGAAGAAAAAGAAATAAAAAATCTATAGAGAAAACAGTTGACTAACATGTCATCGGAACTCGCATCCTGCAGCGGAAGGATGAGGATGCTTTCGCAAACTTCTATCATTTATTTTATATAAACCTTTTGTATCAGATATTTTTTTCTAAAAATGGGGTCTTTCTCCTTTGAACTGGCACAGTAAGACCCATTTCAACACCTCACCACAGGAGAGGGAAATAAATAGGAGAAATTTCCCTGAGAAAAGCAGAAGATAATGGAAACAAAAAGGGAGTGGAAATTCCCCGCGTGATGCACCTCCAGAAGGGCGTGGATATCGTCCTCCACGACCACGAACCCGTCCTCCATCGCCTTCGCCGCCAACGCCTTCAGACAGGGGAACGGCAGGCTCCTCTTCCACCCCGAGGGGAGAACTTCCCCGTTGCGGCGCTTGGAAGGGAAGGCAAACGAGGACTCGGGAGGTGAGAGAGCCAGACGGCAGGCAAATGCCGCAGAGCTCATGATTCCTCTCTCTCCCCTTCTCCCCACCCTCCGAGCTCCCGTGCTCGCCGGCTAGCTCCGGCGATGCTTCGAGTCAGAGAGAGAGAGAGAGAGAGAGAGAAAGGTCGGGAAGAGAAATGCTAGCAGGACTCTATTTCGAAGTGTGCTTGCAGACGATGACCAATGAATATAAGCCACGTACCTAAGATTGTCCGCGTTGTCTCATCTGCCAACTCGACACGACGGAGACACGCAGGGCGTCGCTGATCTGATGACCTCAGCTTCCCGTCGATAATAAACATAGAATAATTTTAGTAAATTGGATATACGAATCAATTTTAGTAACAGAAATAGGTCAAACCCAGGTCATATACTAGTAAACTGATCATTTTCAACTACGAAAATGAATTGGAATCCGATAATTTTCCTGGGAATTTGGACGTCAAAAATAAATAAATTTTGAAAAAAAATAACAATGCACGCACTATTCTCAGCCAAGCCAGCTTGGAATCCAAACTTTGCATAAATTAAAGCACGGCCTTGATGGTCTAAAGAAGGTATTAAAGTTGACTTTTTTATAATATGAACACGTCAAACATCCTTATTTTGGAAATAAGAATAACCCAGATCTTAATTTGTGAAAAAATAGATAGCACAATAATTTTTTATATATATTCAGGGTAACTGAGGGTAATTGAAAGATTTAGCAGTTGACTTTCTCACTCACAGATTTCAGGATTAGGTCAGTAAACTCAGAGTCCCAGACAATGTTTCCATAATTTGATGTCAAAGTTGAGTTCTTGGAGGAAAATAAGTCCTTCCTCCCTCAAATGGTAGCCCATCATCCATCTCAGGCTGCTGAATGTGAGTTGTTTATCAGATATCGCGCTTCACCATTAAGTTGTGAGATTGGAACGCTTAATTTCTTCCGACAGTTTGGAAGAACAAAGAAGATAGATAGATAGATAGATACAGAGAGCGAGAGAGAGAGAGAGAGAGAGAGAGAGAGAGGCCTCAACAAAGGAGTCACTCAAAGTCGTAGTGCTTGTCAACGGTGACAGAGACATCCCAAGTGCACTTCATGCCCTTAGGGAACTCCACCAGATCTCCAGCCTCAATCTCGACAAACTCATCTCCATGCCCATCAGGGTACACCTTCACCTTCCCTTGAAGAAGATAGCATGTCTCCTTGGAAGTGTACTCCCATGGGAATCTGCTCGGTGGGCAACCCCATCTGTTCATCACAAAGTAGAGAGAACCATACCATGTCATCCACTCCATGAATACATGGTGTATGAGCGCACAAGAATGTGTGAGAGTGAGAGAGAGAGAAACAGAAAGAGAGAGAGAGGAACTACATTTACAAGAATAAGAGGTCAAGAGAAAACTTTGTCTGAGCCCTTTTCATTGATAGGGCATGGAGAAAACCTTTGTTTCGGATCTTCTGTTAGTCACCCCTTTCATTTTATTTTTGGTAAAAGAATTGACGAAATAAACATAGAGATGAAAATGCATTGGCAAATATCATGAAGAATTTCAACTAATAATAAAATATAAGGCCTTGTTAAGCCTTGGATCTTCTAAAGGATCGCCAAAAACATCACCTTTGACTCCAATTTTATGTGTGACGAGGATTTTGGCAAAGGAAATCAACAAATTAAAATCTCATTCAAATATAAAGACTTTTATACATGCCATCAGACCTCTAGAATGTCGATCTCCTTGGGTCAACTGAACTGCATTGATTTATGACTGCTGGCAACCATTCTAGATTCCAATGAAAAACTATCCAAAGGGCAATCACCTGGGCTAATTTTTGGGATGAAATTTATTCAATCCTTGGCAAAAAGCATATTTTCTCTTCACCTAGACAGTGGAGACTTGAGTAGAGATAATGAGACTCTACGTACACTTTTCATGAAATCCCACCAGCACGGGAATTGAGTTTTGTAATGATCCAAATCAACTTGACCAATTCAACATGAACAATAAATTTCTTGTAGAATCCAAGTATTTTAACTTGTAAAAACACCACGTAGTCAAGCTAGGAAATGAATCTAGATGTTCATGTGAGAACAAAACATATCAAGATCAAGCATCATTCCTAGTCAGATAACTCGTGTAGCATAGATGTTATCAATAAACCGTTTCCAAAATAAGAATTTTCAGCAGTGGAAAGAGAATAAATATGTGGGATGTGTTACCAAGATTTCTTCAAAATCCGCATTTAATACTCGTGCTCAGTGCGTTTTATGCTTTTAAAAAACCAGCCCTCGATCACTGTAAGGGATTAAATTGACCACAACAAAAAAGACTTAAAGCACTGATCTCCCCCTTCGTAGCGATTGAAGATTTTTAAAATTTGAAAGAGCGGTTGCGGTTGATGGCTATGGTCTTTGAAAGTATGTGTACCCTCACACTTACAATCCTCCTCAGTAGTCCCCTCTAATGATCATAAAATGACTCAGTAACTGTAAGTTTAAGGTTCTTTTTATTCTGAAATCACTTATTAAAGTTGACTTCAATGAACTAAAAAGGAGAACACAAAAAAATTGTGATAGATGGCAGGGACTCGTTGACCATATGCAAGCAACTGAAAGGTCTCAGTGCTTCGACACAAATTAGTCACTCCAGTGGAAAGATCTGATAAGGGGATGAAGGGATCGTTCAAACTCTCCCATGCAGACGAAGTTCCTTTTAAGATAAGATGATGGCTTAATAATAGATCCTTTCCCAACCAGACCTTCGCTTTTAACACACGTAACCACTCTCGCATGCAAGCAATCGTGCAAACAGAAGCTCGACATTCTACAGAAGCGTTTCGTAGTTGGTTTAGCATGAATATATTTTCCTTTTAAAGCCATCAAATCTACTTTATCTTTTTATTCATTTTTTCTTATTAGAAAAACAAATCAATCAGAAGCCTAGTCTATGTTGTATGAGACGAAAAAAAAAATAATGGATCGAGGGAGATTTAATTACGATTGTTTAATAGATGCCAGATATAATTGCGCTGTGATAATGGATAAAATAAAATATTCCCTCTAAAGGAAATCAGTGACGACGAAGATCAAGGCTCAGTAGAACAAGAGGTTTGCACCGACTACTCACGCGTCGAATTTCTAGAAGCAACGAAGCGAAAAATCAGGGAATATTAAAACCCTGGCAAACCACACCGAAAGAGAGCCAAAATCCAACGGACAGAGAGATCCACCGAGGTTTGTCTCCACTACACACGCATCGAATTTCTCGAAGTAATGAAGAGAAAATCAGGGAATATCAAAGATTGAGAGCCGAAATCCACAGAAGTCCTGAGATTCCTTACTTGGGCCAGCTCCTGACGCCGAGCTCAGCAAGCTTCTCCTCGGGGGCGTTCTTCAAGACCTTCACGCCCAACCTCTCCGTGGCCATCGCTTCTGCTCTAATCCCCGCTCTCCACCACCGCTGACCTTCCCTTCCCCGAAGCTCACTGAGAGGCAACCGGCGAGAAAAACCAGCGGAGGTCAGGCCAGGCACAGTGTGGAGCCTCAGACCCATGACAGGGCTCGCCATTTCAGAACCTTCCAGAACGTGCGAGGACCAGCCGCAACGGTCTAAAATCTTCTATCCGTTCAACATTTTCCGAATTTCCGGGAAAAATAAATAATTTTATTTTTTCTGGCTTCGACGGACACGGATGCTAATACCATTAAGGCGGCGGGTCACGGATACCAATACTGTGTCCATTTAGATGAAAATATTCGATCCGATGAGACCCCTATCCGTGGGATCCACCGATCGGTCGGTCCAAATCGTAAACATAGTCTGTTGATGCGATCGGACTCTGCACCCTAAGCGTAGGTGGGCTTGACTCAACTTTTATTGGGCCTCCTATTTGTTGATTTGGGCTTAGAATTTTGGCTTTATATGGCCCATAAATGACCTAATATGTGGTTTTTAAAATAAAGGTACAACTGTTTGGTTGGTCAATGCCGTGCCACGTCATGGTCATCATCCGACAAGTCATCAGACGCCGCCTAGGGAGATCCTCTTATCAGATCACATTTGGTACCCCGACCAATCGCCGCCGCCCCGCATCCGCCTGCTCGACCATTTAGTTCCTCACTTCTCTCTGATCTCCACCTCCCTCCCTCTCTCTATCACCGTGCGCCGTCCTCCGGCGAGCAATGGCACCCCTTGCGGCGGCGATGGCGGCGACGGCGGGGCTGGGTGTGTCGGAGATGCTGGGGAGCCCCCTGAACTTCAGCGGCGGCGCCCGCTCGGCACCGGCGCCGGCGGCGGCGTCGTCCTCTGGCAGGGTGGTCGCCCTCTTCTCGAAGAAGAAGGCCTCTGCTCCCACGAAGTCGAAGCCTGCGGCGACAGCGCCGGCGAGCGAGGAGCTGGCCAAATGGTACGGCCCCGACCGGAGGATCTTCTTGCCGGAGGGGCTGCTGGACAGGTCGGAGGTGCCGGAGTACCTCAACGGGGAGATCCCCGGGGAGTAAGTTCACCATACTTTCAGCCATTTCGTTCCAATGCTTACCAAAGTGGGGGTTATCTCTGATAATGAAGCTTGCATCTCGCAGTTACGGGTACGACCCATTTGGGCTCAGCAAGAAGCCTGAAGACCTGAACAAGTACACGAAGATCACCCCCCCTCACTATATCTGGAGGCTGATATATTTTAATATTTAAATAGATGTATTTATTAAGTTTTTTGTACCTAATGACGAATTTATGTCCTCAGATACCGAGCATACGAGCTCATCCACGCGCGGTGGGCGATGCTCGGCGCGGCCGGCTTCGTCATCCCGGAGGCCTTCAACAAATATGGCGCCAACTGCGGGCCCGAGGCCGTCTGGTTTAAGGTACCCAGAAGATCACCCCATTACTTCCTTCCTGATCATGCTCAAGAGGTCGTCAGAGGATGCCGTTTCAATCATATGGTTAAATAGAGGAGTGTGCTTTGGTTTCCGCCAGGTAATCAATCGATTAATGTAGCATCGATTGTTGTTTCTGTAGTCGGGGAATGCAGTCTGTCGTTCTTTGGTGATATGATCGAAACTCGGGAGGGTGGGAGCTCAAATTGTTCAATAATTCATCTGAATATGAGTGAATAGATCCCATGAACGACTAATTACTTGAATGAAACATCGAAGCAGTAAATCCAGCGCTGAGGTTACCTTTTGAGTTCCTCTCCAATCTAACGGGCTTGATCTGTCGGCGTCTACAGACTGGTGCGCTGTTGCTGGACGGGAACACGCTGAACTATTTCGGCAAGAACATCCCAATCAATCTCATCGTTGCGGTCATCGCAGAGGTTGTTCTTGTCGGAGGCGCTGAATACTACAGGATCATCAATGGACTGGTAAGTTTGAAAGAGAGAGAGAGAGAGAGAGAGCAATGTCTGAGGAGGACTCACATTCTCTCTCTTGTTTCCGTAGGACTTGGAGGACAAGTTGCACCCGGGGGGGGCGTTCGACCCGTTGGGACTAGCGAACGACCCGGACCAGGCGGCGCTGCTGAAGGTGAAGGAGATCAAGAACGGGCGGCTGGCCATGTTCGCCATGCTCGGCTTCTTCCTCCAGGCCTACGTCACCGGAGAAGGGCCGGTGGAGAACCTTTCCAAGCACCTCAGCGACCCCTTCGGCAACAACCTGCTCACGGTGATCTCCGGCTCCGCCGAGAGAGTCCCCACTCTGTAACTCCGCCGCCGTCGTCGTCCCTCTCTCGTCCGGTGCTCTGTAAATTTTCCCTGAGGACCCCTACACAGATTGTTCACCAACCACCTCGATGATAAGCTCATATGAAGATTTATCAAATAACATCGCAGTTGGAATAGCGGACCCGAATAATTGATCTTCATTCCACTTGGCGTAGATTGGGACGGGGTGGGGAGAGAGAGAGAGAGAGAGAGAGAGAGAGAGAGAGAGAGAGAGGAGTCACTGTGCCATTGACTATCATGACATTCTTCCACGTGCCACAAACGTAATTGATTAAGCTTTCCCTCCCACTTGTCACTGTCTTTAATTAATTAAGATACGTACGCTCTTGAGATCCAGTTGGTGGTACTTTTTTTCTAGTCTCGATGGACCGTAGGCTGCGCTGTTCACATAGACTAACAGATGGATAAGTAGAGAGAGAGAGAGAGAGAGAGAGCGTGGTCAAAGAGAGACCGTATTGAAATATTTTGGTCCCCACATGCACGATGTCAATTCCTCGGGATCGTCTCCGGAACTAAAAAAAAAAGCTAGCTATTTTACAAATAAACACCTGTAAAGTATGCAATTGCATACGTATCTTTTGAGATAGATTTACTTTCAAACCTTATTCCCTCGGTATCATCCTTCTCGATTCTCCTGTCTGTACTAGCTAATTACACTCTTAATAAGAGTATTCTAAAATGAAAAAACTTATGAGGCTTTTTGTCCAAAAACCCATCTCGAGGCTCTTCGCTTCTCTCCTTCTCTACCGGAAGTGCTGCCCGGCCCCACAGCGATGTTATGGAGTCAACGCCTTCGGCGTCCACGTCGTATATGAAGCCTTGGAGGGATCCCCCCCCCAACTCCCCCCAACCGGCGACTACTCGTTCGAAGCTGAGTTTTTATGGCGGCGCCACCGGGTGGCGTAGTCCCGCCGGGGTTTCGATTCCACCCCACCGACGAGGAACTCCTCCACTTCTACCTGAGGAAGAAGGTCGGGATGGAGAAGTTCGAGCTTGACGTGATCAGGGAGGTGGATGTGAACAAGATCGAGCCATGGGAGCTGCAAGGTGAGGTATCGAACCCAGCACGCCTTAATTCTCTCTGCATCTCTCGTGGGATGTCTTGGGGAATCGCATCCAGCCAACCGTGGATTGTGTTCTTGGGTTTTTCAAGAAAGATGGTTGTTTGTTTTCAAACGGGCAACTTCTCTTTGTTCAAGCATAACTTTGGAGGACATTTCCAGAAGTTTTTCCATAGGAATGATATTTCTGCGTATTTAAAACTTTTAAAAGGACGAAAGATTGAGCCCGGTGGGTTCCATGACTTTCTTCATGAAGGATTTCTCAACTCTAAGGTTGAAGTCATCGAAAATCCAGCTTGAATTTATGGGTCTTAGCTATTCGTTTCTGATTTCCCCCCCTCTCCCTCCTTTTTTTTTTCGTTGAATCAAGGTTTTCCCATCTCTATGATATCATATGAGAATGAAAATACCTCATCGTCTGATCCTGAGGAGCGGATAATCTGCACAAGGACTTCCTAGGAACCCGCGGTTGACGCCTCTCTCTCTCTCTCTCTCTCTCTCTCTCTCTCTAAACATAGAGAGGTGCACGATCGGGTCAGGGCCCCAGAGGGAGTGGTACTTCTTCAGCCACCGCGGTCGCAAGTACCCGACGGGCTCGAGGATGAACAGGGCGACGGGCTCGGGATTCTGGAAGGCCACAGGGAGGGACAAGTGCATCAGGAGGAGCGCCGCCGAGAAGCTCGGCATGCGCAAGACACTCGTCTTTTACAGCGGCCGCGCCCCCTGCGCCCAGAAGACCGACTGGATCATGCACGAGTACCGCCTCCACGGCGTCAGCTGTGAAGAAGAAGACTGGGTCGTCTGCCGAGTCTTCATGAAGGACTGCTTCAAAGTCGACAGAGACGAGAGCCCCCGTCACCGTGAGGGCCCCGTGGACCAGCCTCCCCAGTGCATTCAGTTTCAGTTGCAGGGCCTCCTCTCCGGCGACCATGGACACGGGGCCATGCAGCGTAGCGATGGAGGAGGGGTAGATCTGATTTCTGGTGAGTGGCTGCGGTTCGACCCCGAGGTGACTAGTCGCTCTGGTGACCATGGCAGCGCTGGCGAATGGAGGTATCGGCGGGTGGCGCCGCCGCCTCAGACAAGCCTGCTGGGCCATCACCAAGAAGAGGTGGAGATAGATGTGATTGCACAGCGTTTGGTGTGTGAATGATGACGCACATTCTCTCTCTGTGCGTCTGTCTCTCCCTGCGCCCCCCCCCTTTCTAGATCAATTTGCTCACGTTGTTTAGTCCCAACGATGTCATTTAATACGGGACGTGATCTTCTATGCTTCCACTTTCATCTTTTATATTCTCTCAATAAAAGGACGAGGAAAATATTCTTTGAAAATAGAAGATATGAGATAATAAAACTTCCAATCTGACATGAAAGAGCCCAGCCTATTTTTACGAATTCAATCAGGAAGGGAAAAAGATTTAATCCAGCCTATTTTTCTAGAATTTGAGATGGTATGATATTGAAATTAAAGAGCCTTATCTGGTTTTAGGTCAACCCATTCCTTCATACAATGAAGGGTAAATGTATAGGTTCGGAGTGGGGTCGGGAGAGGAGGAGGGGGTTAATATTTTATGTTAAATTAAGCTCAATCAAAAAAATGTGCTAATTTATTTAGAGGGCACACCTAAAAAAAAAATAATTGAGAAAACTTTATTGTATGATCCATGGAAGAGAAACATTCAATTTAAACCCCAATGAAATTCAATTTATAGAATCCTAGCTAAGTTAGAATTTCACATTTGATCAACTTGAGAACACTTTATTCTATTTGTGTTTATTATAAAATTTCATATTTAGTTTTGTAAATAGCCATGATTTTTTTATTCCTCCATTTGAGCACATTTATTTATAGAATAAAATAAATGGATGTTTTAAAAAATAATTTCAATTAATTTGTGATTTTGTTTGCGAAAGGTGGGGCCTAAAAGATGAACTTCTACATTCCATGGGGGTTATATGAACATGTTGATTTCCAACCCTTATTGTAATTGGGTTAGGTTACTAAAGAACAAAATTAAAAAGTGGTGCAGCCAATTTCAAGCCAACCTGATGGGTTAGTTACAAACTCAATAATGCCCAACATGTTAGCCTCCTTACTTTTCTCAAATGTTTTCATGGTTCCCACTCTTTCAATGCCATCATCCCCTTGATTTGGCAATTGATGTCATCCCTCTTCTCTTATAAACCAATGCCCTCAAAGACACCACTAAACAATCATGGGTTGCATTGATGTCGTAGTATTGTGTCAGTAAAGGCTTGAACCAACACTTGGTGGCAAAAAGTCACACATGTAGAATGAATTTGGTGATGGAAGGAAAAACAACTAAAAAGAATGAGAATAAACCCTTGATTCATCTCACATAGAGACTATTAGAAAGGTGTTAACACATGTCAACACACATGTAGAAGGACCTAAGAGTCCTACTTAAAAATGAGTTAAAAATTAGAGTGCATTTAAAAATATTGTTGATATCATCTACCAACCTTGTAAATACGAAGTGACCTACATTCTCAATATACTTTGTGTTCATAAAATGTGAAATTTGATACAATATGAATATCAACTTGATTTCACATAATAAAGGGGTTGGGAAAAGTGTCTTAGTGTGAGAGTCATGTGAAATTAAAGCCTTTGGTTTTGATATTTTAAGTAAAATTTTACTTACTATTTTTATATGAAATATTTACTAAATAGTAAATAGATATTATGAAAACTTGTGTAAGGAGTCAAGTTGATGATGTTTTTTATGAAAAATTTAAGAAATATTCAAAGCATATTGATGATGTTTAAATAATCCTATGATGAACAAAAGAATCTAATGAGTTATATCCTTGAGATATTATTAGATTGAATTTAACACAATGTCATATAATTTTGTTTATAAATACATAAAAGTAGGTGTCCACACATGTGATGAAGCATATTGAAAAATAAGAAATATGAAGTCACATGTACAGTTCAAACTTAGAACCTAAGTGAGGAGAAGTCAAAAGTCTAAGTGAAAAAAACACTTGAAAAATCAAGGAATATTAAGTCAAGTGCATGATTTGAACTCAAGACATGAGTGATGGATAGGTGAAACTTTTACCCACTAAAATGTTTAAAAATCACAAAGAAAAAACAAAAGTCACTAATAAGATTCAAAGAAAGAACTTGAATGAAGACACATTAAAAAGTTAATGAAAGAAATATAAATAAATATTAGAGAATCAATGTCTCCAATAAAATTCAAAGTCAAGACATATCAACAAATATGAAGCATTTGCAAGAAGTCATCGAAAAGTCATAAAAGGGTGAAGTAATTGCCACATAGTATAGATGGTGACACCTTGTCAAAACACATGAAGAAAATGATGGGCTTAATAGAGTTATTTGAACTCAACCCCGAAAACAAAGTTGATCATTGATAAATCAAGAATCTCCAAATCAAATTTCAAACATAGTTAATGTGAGAATAACAAGTTAAAGTAAGGAATGAGTAAAGATTATTATCACACCATCAAGTAGCATATTAATAATATATATAGAGATAACTACAAATTCAATGATTGTATTTGAGCTTGACCCTATAAGCAGAAATGTATGTTGAAATCTCTAGACAAAGTTTCAAGGATAACGAATGTAAGAATGACAAGCATCAAATGAAAGTATGCGCAAAGTTTACTAGTGCATCAATACAACAATGAGAAGAAATTTGAATCCATATGATCATTTAAGTGGTCAAAATACACAAGAATATTAGTGAATAACAAGAATGAGTTTACAAAGAAGAATAATAAATTTTGAATGAAGATAATTTAACTATATTTACTTATGTTCAGAAAAATATTATACTCCATCCGTTAGAGTCAAGTTGTTGCACACTTCAAAGAACAATTGAAAGTTGTATTAAATATCTCATTCTACATTAGTAATCTAAGTCAACACTTGTTTCAAAAGTTGACTCTCTCCTTCAATCCCTAAGGTACATGGGTGGTGAGTGGACAGAGGTTTGGGCTAAGGCATTTGGTGTTGAGAGCTTGTTAGTGTTTGTGAAGATGATAACATATACAAGTGTGTGGTGTTGAGAGCCTTGTTGTGCATGTGAATGGTGTGATCTTTATGGAGATCAAACTTCTGTGATTAGGTCATTGATCTCATAAAATCAATTTATATTTCTATGAGAAAATATTGAACTTCGATAGAACCCTTTAAAACTAGATGTAGCCTAATGATAAGAGAGCCAACGTAAAAATTCTTTGTCTTTGGTGGCAACAAGAGAGAAACTAAAGTAAACTTGTATATATAGAGAGAGAGAGACTACTTTGAATGAATATGTACCCATAATAAAAGGCTAACACATGCATTTGTAAATAGAATAAAAAATAAGACAAAAACCATATTCTTGGTGTTCAACTTAGCCTAATCAAATATTTAAATTATTGTATTCAATAGTTATAGCAACTGATGCATACTAATTGACTTCAATTGGTGATTGAGATGTGATCGACTATTTTTTTACCTTTTATGAAATAAGAAAATCACAAAAAATTTAAAAGTCTATAATTAAGAAGATGTTATGAAAAATAATGATCTTTAACTAGGTGTGGCTTTCAAATAATAAAGAAAATGATATGTTGTATGTAAGTGAGAAAGATATAGTTGAGCTATAAATTAATTTTTTGTGCATTACAAAGGTGATATTGACGTGACCTAGTCGTTGTATAGTAAATCACGTAAATTTAAAATTTATAAAACTAAATAATACTAATTTTTAGATATTTAGAAGTATTTTTAAATATATATATCAATTATAATTCAATAAAACTTTCAAAACTAATGGTAATTTTCCATGTCAATCATAAAGATATAATATAATATTGGGTAATTTTTTTATAAATTTTGTATTATAAAATAAAAATAAAATATATTTAAAATTCACAAAAAAAAGAAATTAGCGTGCAGACATCAGGATGACATCAATGCTCGACGAACATGAATTTGACAAAAACAGAATTTCGTCCGGTGATTCTTATGTAAGTGATTATAGACGATTTAATTGATCAAATTAAAATCTGTAAAAATCAGAAGAATCATAATTGAATAAAGTATAACTTGGTAAATTTAAATCACACAACTTATCACTAAATGAAGTAAAAATAAAGTTAAAATCAAGAAAATAGAGTTTCAATGTTGCGATGGTGATGCATCGATGATGTATTGAAATCTTGGGTCTTTGAAAGAATCGTCTTGTAATATCTACAGCTTCAAAGGCTCTTCTTGGATAAAGATAATGTGAGTAATCTCTATATCTTCTTGTGAAGTCTAGAGATCAATGAAATGGGTCGTCAAATTGTCTCTGATGACTGTAACCTAGCAGAGTGAAAAATAATGACTTTGCAACTCGCCAGCAACTATCACCCTATGGAGTGGAGCTAGATGAAGGTGGGGAGCGTGTTAGGGAGCTTTATCTTCAGGTTCGCACAGTAAGAAGAAGTTCTTCATTGCATCGGGTATGCTCTCAAGAGGTGGTAATTCATCTCTTGGTAGATCGTCATTTTTCCGACAATGGCTTATTCATCAATCAATTGGAGATAATTTACTTGATGAATTCACGATCTTTTTATTACAAATTATTAAGTAGTTTTAGTAACAATGCTCTGTAAATCACATTGACGAAATGTTCACCGATGATCTAGCGATTCTCACGTCTTAATCCTTCATTGGCGATCTACAAGAAAGTCATAATAATCAAAGAAAAGTACGAGTTTTTACTTTAGAAAGATTTAAACTAGTGCTGGTTGCCCTCCAACATGAGAGAGATTAAAATAAGTACTATAATACTCTTATCAAGTGACATCATCATAGTATATCTTTATTATAATGAAGAGATAGTTTAAGTATTAAAATCTTCAAAGCCTTTCAAGGTAAAGTGTGACATAAGTTTAATCTCATATCATTTGAGCACCGAAGTTTTGGGTGAATATATAGTGATATCACATCTATAAGTAATGAGTTCCTTTCTCTTACATGTACGACCACTCCTTAACCCATAACCAATTGGTCATTAGTGATGTAGAAGGGGAGTGGTGCACATGTGACTCTATCAATCCTAGTCACTTGAGCCCCTACTCGTAGCTCCCCCTAACTACACTTTAGACTCGCTTATGGGC